TCAGACCTTGTGTGTGAGACGCAGCAGCAGAAAGGCTACGAGACTACATGGAAACAACGTGTTTAATATGGAGCACAGAAAGACATTGGTGTGTTTCCTTCATGGGTCTCGTCCTCATCATCTCCATTATTTAGGTTTTTGTTCAAATGTCCCAAAATACAAATAAATTCCTAGAAACTCACCTAGTTTTATTCTGACCCGCCGGAGAAACTGAACAGGCCCACCAACCATTTTAATAACTACCGTAGCGTGCAGCAGCCTCCAGAATGCCTGATATAACATTTTATTTATCATGTCAGTAAATGAATGTAAACATGAAGATGAAGACTCTTCCAGGACTCCTTGTTCTTCTTGACGCGACCGCCTCAGCTGGATGCTTGCCGTCGTCTCCTCTGACCCCGGCTCTGAGAACATCATCCCTGCACTCTGCTAGCAGACGTGCGCACTCGCACGTGTCCCACGCTCCGGGACTGCAGGACACAAACCGTCTCATTTTTCTCTGCAGGGTTTTTGTGCAAAATTAAGTTTAACGGCCTGTCAGAGCGCCCCAGGGCGGCTGTGGCTACACAGTAGCTTACCATCACTAGCAGTGTGTGAATGTGAGAGTGCATGAACGTGTCTTTGAGTGTCCTAAAAAGCGCTCTATAAGTTCGATATATTAGCATTATTAACCCTCCGGAGGCAGGCAGGTTAAATCCTACCTACCTGCTCACTCCTCACACGTATTTATGAGCATTTTTAATTCAGAAGTTCCCCTGAAGGACTCAGTTGTTCGTCCTTTCATCAAAACGCAGTTTGAGCCTGAGAGGGTTCAGCTTCAAACCTGCATTTTTCTATTGTGTGTGTGTGTCTGACTGCAATGTGTTTTTATTTAGGACAACACGCCTGCAACTCCGCCGTTTTTTTGTTCCGTTCACCGTTTCCAACGGCTGTCGCTCTTGAGCTAAAACAGCCTTTTTTCCAAGAGTCAAACTTCAAAACAAACTACAGAAATGATCAGTTCTGAGCTTCAGGTGATGAAGATGAAGACGGAAGGGTTTGTTTTCTGACCATCACCGTAGACCATCACACGGTGCATCAGAGGCTCTGAAGCACCGACTGGTTTTAGGAGCAAAATGCTTTAGAGAGGGAAGTAAGGAAAGCTGCTTGAATCCTCACCTTTGACCTCTAGAAACACTTGATAGTTCCTGTGAGGATGCTGCTCCCGGATGCACATGGAAGGCAGCAGCAGGCAGCTGTAAGGACCTGAATCCTCCCGACGGCCCCCTTGATAGTGAAGGAAGTCGCCGACAGAGAAACATCAAAGGCTTTCACTTGGAGGACCGTTTCCTCCATCATCAGCTACGACTGGATGAGCTGGCGTTTGTCCAGCGTGTGGAGTGCGTACGGGACCGAGCCCTCGAACTCAACCTCGGCTCCCTCGTTAACCGTGGAAGGTCCAACCACGGAAAACTAGCTGCAGAGCCGTCAGAGCAGAGAGGAGTCACGATAAAAGGCCTGAAGGTGAACCGCTACCTTCCTCCTGAACAGACAGAGCTCATTCCTAGAAGTCTGAATATTATCCTCATTATGGAAGTTCCTCCACAACGCCGTCATATTTGGACTAGCATGGGTGTTTGCATGAATTCTCGGGCAGATGTGGGTCTGTTAGCGGATCAAACATGGATTCAGTAGTAAAGCCAATCTGGCGGGGGCCGGATTCAAACTGCTTCATTCACAAAGCCAGTCATCTGTTTATTCACAGAGCAGAAATAGAAGAAACAGTTAAAAACGGCGCGTTATGGAAGCACTCACCCGTCACCTGGATCTCATCAGCGCTGGATCCTCTCTCAGCTACGGCGACGGATTGTGAGCATGAGAGGAGAAGCTGTAGATCCTGCTGTAATTCAGACTAACTCTGGAAGGTCTGAATGTAAAATCATCCTGCCGCTCTCCTAATAACAGCTCCGTCTCTCAGTAAATAATAATAAAAGTTGCCAGACTTGTTTGTTCCAAATGTGCTGCAGGCTAAGTCCAGGTCGTCATTTCCACGTACGGTTGTCTTCCTCCAGAAGATCTTTGCAGGAGAAAGATCTGCAGCAGCAACACGTTACTGATGAAACCTTTGTTCTCAACCATGACCTGATTCACCAAAACACCTTAGAAAACAAACCGATCCACTCAAATCATCTATAAGCAGCGCTCCATGTTTATAACACATGTGAACAATAAAGCAGACAAGCAGAGGTCTGTTTACTCACAGAGGAGAACAGCTGATGGGTTCATCTCCACTTGCACACGAACCCTCTCACAGCCTCTGTTAGCTCCTTGGAGGGGGTGGCGGTCTTTTCTACCCCTACAGACGCCATCATCACCACTTCCTGAGTCTTCTGTGATGCTTATTAACGCGTCTGTAAGAACGCCAAACCTGCCTCCCACTCATCTGACACCATGGTAGATCTCCTCTAAACGTTCTGACGGGGACATTCTTACTCATTAAACACCCGACAGAAACAAAGGAGAGCTGCAGCATTAGGCCAGCTGAGAATGGAGGTTCAGGTGTCTGACCAACGGCTCCTTATTTCCTGTTTGGAGGATTTTCATGTTTTCCATGTTGGTGGCACCCCTCGGACCTCTCTGGTGTCGCTGGGGAAGAGATCCAGATTTTCCTCTTGACCTTCATAAGATGAGTGGGAGTAAAGAAAAGTGGATGGATGGATGGATGGATGGATGGATGGGTAAATGGATGGATGGGTAAATGGATGGATGGATGGATAAATGATGGATGGATGGGTAAATGGATAAATGATGGATGGATGGATGGATAAATGATGGATGGATGGATAAAGGATGGATGGATGGATGGATGGATGGGTAAATGGATGGATGGATGGGTAAATGGATAAATGATGGATGGATGGGTAAATGGATAAATGATGGATGGATGGATAAATGATGGATGGATGGATAAAGTATGGATGGATAAATGATGGATGGATGGATGGATGGATGGATGGGTAAATGGATGGATGGATGGATAAATGATGGATGGATGGGTAAATGGATAAATGATGGATGGATGGATGGATAAATGATGGATGGATGGATAAATGATGGATGGATGGATAAATGAAGGATAAATGATGGATGGATGGATAAATGATGGATGGATGGATGGATAAATGATGGATGGATGGATGGATGGATAAATGATGGATGGATAAAGTATGGATGGATGGGTAAATGGATAAATGATGGATGGATGGATGGATGGATAAGTAATGGATGGATGGATGAATGGGTAAATGGGTGGATAGATGGGTAAATGGATGGATGGATGGATAAATGATGGATGGATGGGTAAATGGATAAATGATGAATGGATGGATGGATAAATGATGGATGGATGGATGGATGGGTAAATGGGTGGATAGATGGGTAAATGGATGGATAAATGATGGATGGATGGGTAAATGGATAAATGATGAATGGATGGATGGATTGATGGATGGATGGATGGATGGATGGATGGGTAAATGGATAAATGATGGATGGATGGATGGATGGATGGGTAAATGGATAAATGATGGATGGATGGATGGATGGGTAAATGGATAAATGATGAATGGATGGATGGATAAATGATGGATGGATGGATGGGTAAATGGATAAATGATGGATGGATGGATGGATGGGTAAATGGATAAATGATGGATGGATGGATGGATGGGTAAATGGATAAATGATGGATGGATGGGTAAATGGATAAATGATGGATGGATGGATAAATGATGGATGGATGGATGGATGGATGGATGGGTAAATGGATAAATGATGGATGGATGTATTGGCTTAATGAACTGTGAATTGGAATGTTTATTATGTGAAGTGCCTTGAGACGACTCTTGTCGTGATTTGGCGCTTTATAAATAAACTTGAATTGAATTGAATTGAATTGGATGGATGGATGGATAAATGATGGATGGATGGATGGATGGATAAATGATGGATGGATGGATGAATGGGTAACGGTGGCACAGGAGTTAAGTGCTCGCCCCGTAATCGGAAGGTTGCTGGTTCGAGTCCCGCTCAGTCTGTCGCTGTCGTTGTGTCCTTGGGCAAGACACTTAACCCATGTTGCCTGCTGGTGGTGGTCGGAGGGACTGGTGGCGCCAGTGCTCGGCAGCCTCGCCTCTGTCAGTGCGCCCCAGGGCAGCTGTGGCTACATAGTAGCTCATCCCCACCAGAGTATGAATGTGTGTGTGAATGGGTGAATGACTGATTGTGTTGTAAAGCGCCTTGGGGGGTTCTAGGACTCTAGAAGGCGCTATATCAAATACAGGCCATTTACCAATCAGTGTGCTAGCTAGCACATGTGGTAATTGATGATATCTTCACCATTTCTCAAGATAAATTGATGAGACTCTACACCCTTATGAAGTATGAGCGGTAAGCCCTATCTACCCGATTTTGTGTGGATTCACCAATAGGGGGCGCTAAAGAGTCAAAAAGTTTGTTTCAGCTAAACGGCTTGATGGATTTCCACAGAACTTGGCACATATGTTAATCATCGGACCCTTAAGCTATATTTTGAAAATGATTAAAAAGTGGGCGTGGCTTATAGGCTATAAATAGGCTTTAAACGTTTTCGCCCATTTACTCCTGAAAAATACATATTCTATACAGAAAATTACAATTCATATCAGTCATAATGACATCTACAATCACAGAAATTTTTTTTAATTTTGTCCAATAGGTGGCGCTGTGGTACCCCAAAAATATTTTTGGCATGTTTCTCCCCATTACTTTCGTAAAAAAACAAATGATCTCATCCAGTATGTTCATTGAGTCAGTCAAATTTAGATGAGTATTTTAAAAAATGTTTTAAACTTATGCAAATTAGTAGAAATTTGCATAGTAAGTCCAACGTACTTTCGTTAACTCCTCCCGGCCGTCAAACTCAATCACATCACATCTTTCCCTGACAAGAGAGGAGGAGCGGCTGACCAAAAGATGTGAAGGGATTTTGGATAATTTGCTTATTTTTTTTAATATGATTTTTTTTAAAAATTTTGGAGAATGAAAAAGTTTTTTTAGAGTAACTTCAAAAGATTTTGACATTTTTCAAAGCTGTTCATAACAGTCATACCTAAGGTCAATTCAAGTGTATGTCCTGGTTTTCAACTTGATTAAACAATAGGGGGCGCTATAACTGGGAAGAAATTATACTGCTGAACTGGCTAAATGGATCTGCACGAAACTTAGTGGTTGTCATCACTATAGAGTCTTAAGATTACATTATCAATATGGTAATGATTTATCAAAGTGGGCGTGGCTTATGATCATTTAAAATTTCAAATTTGAAAAATTTCCTAAAAATCATTATTTGCATGTAAGAGGCTAAGATTTCCAGATTGTGTTAGCTGGATAGGCTAGAGCTTATGTCACGAAAGCCGCAGCTCCATGTTGAGGTTTACGCTTTATATTTATGAAAATACATTTTTAGGCTAGCAATTGTAGCGCAAATTCTGTTCTCACAACCTTCTTGTAATTTGCTACAAAGTTCACTCTTAGGTGGTTTATGAAACAAAAAAAATGTCGTCTTGATATGAGCTCCCCCTTGTGTTTAATTTTAGGACATATTTTTGTCTACAGACACTAATGCAAATATTATTTTATTGTAAGTACAGTTTTACATTTATGACCCCAACAAAAATATAAGAAGAATTCTCACGTCACAGAGGCAACCTGGGAATATTTTGAGATTTCTGTACAAAAGCATAGATTTTTAATTAATTTTTAACTTTTTACCAGTTTTTCTGTATAGTTGGACAACAACGTAATTAATTTTTGTTAGAAAACTTTTTAGGTATACAGTAAATATAAGCCATTTACAACATTCCACACGTACCTATGGTGATCTGAGATTTTTCTCCTAATTATAGAAAGTAGCACTATTTTTTTATGAATATTTAAATTTTTGTTGTGACCTTTATAGTTATATTTCCTAATTTTTCTTCAAAAAAGCTTTGAGTCAACTGATTTAAAAACAACATCATATTATTCCGCATGTTAACACTGCCATGTGAGAATATTTTGGTAATTTTATGATGATTTATGTATTTTTCATGATTTTTTAAAACAATTGATCAGTAAGTCACAAAATGAAACTCATTGTTTTTGTTGAAAATCTATTAAATCTAAAGACATTATCAAGTCTTTATGTTATTTGTAATATTCTGTTGATGTATAGATGATTGTTTGATAATCTCACTCATTAAATCTTCACGTTCTTTAATAAGGAAACAGTGGAATTCCATTGTAATCACGATTGAGAAGTCAGCCATGCCTCTGAAAGATATGTGTATAGGCTTTGCAGGTTTAATGACGTATCCTGAGTGTTACTTTCATTGCGCCGGTTGAAGTGAGCTGACGGGACGCCGGCGGGAGAACGTGTTTTTGGGGCGGGACCGCGTGAGGACTGGCGAAGTTGAGGGCGGGGCGGGTGGGCGACTGGCGCTGGGGGCTTGGAACCCGTTGATAACTGCTTGCAGTTCTAGTTTATTTTTATTTTTTTGTCCTCCCCCTTTTCATTGACTGTTCAATTCTCATCTGAATACATTGGCATGTTCGCCTTATTTGTAATGTAAATATGCTTTTCTGCAATAAAAAAAAAGAATACTCATTCTCGCGTCCTCAAACGCGTCCTCGCTCCACCCACATTTCGAGGATGGGTCTGATGGATCCTCACAAGAGCAAGGGTATCCCAGCATGCTTTGCGCGCCGGCTGCTGGTATTATTGAACAATGCCGCTCAGAAATTGGTCTCAACCCGGAAGTACCAAAAATTGCAGTTCCACTCCCGTCCACTAGGGGCTGGTGTCAGAAGCGAGCAAATCCTCATTGACTCCCATGTTAAAAATACCAATTTCACAGCAGAAATCAACATGTTTACAGCCTGGTACCAGAACATGTTTTAGGTTTAAATGATCTAGTTTACACTCATGACAACTCTGAGGGGGGTGAATTTTTTTCTCACTTTTCTGTTTAAGTGTATTAAAAGCCTAAACTTCTGTATAATTAATGAGCATCAGACCCACGTGACCACAGAGCTAGCTCCGTGGAAAGGCCTCAGTAGAGCCTCGGTCTGGCCTGGAAACTGCTCCGGGATTTTGAGTCTCTGTGTGTGTGTATTCTTGTTTGGATATTATTTGTGCAATTGTTGGACAAAATGACTTGCTGTGGCATTAATTGCACTAATAAAGCGTCCAAGGAGTCTCCACTTCATTTTTTTCGGTAAGTAAAATTATATTTATGTATTTTAGGTCACTGCCGAGCTGAGCTTAGATTTTAACATGTACTGTTTAACCATGAAATTTAAATGTAATAGGGTAAAACCCAGTGCATTTAACATAATGCTGCACTTTAGAAAATGGGATGAAATATAACATGTTGGTGGAGCTGGGTTCCCACTATCGGCTTGTGGAGCTCTCGGGACACCGATGATTTCCACCCGTTCTCCCCTGGCTTCGCGGCTTCTGTTTGCTGCGCGGAATGCCGGTGTTCTGGGAATTTCTACCCCGTAAACCGTCCTACTCGTTGTTACTGAGCATGTGCGCGCATGCGCACAACACAAAATGGGAATGCTTCTCCGCTGTCATATTTGCAGGAAAATAGATAAGTAGTAAGTATTAGTACTTTTTATTGACGTTGATACTTGATTTTTTGGGTTATGGTTAGGGTTTGTGTCATGTAAAACACCGTAAAATTATCCTACGGGTAGGACGTTTTGCCAAAGTAGGACATTTTCTCAGAACACCGGCTGTTTCTCCCTGCAGCTCGGCGCATCTCTGTTTGATCGCAGCTTCTGTGTGCTGCGCAGGCTGACGGCGTGTGGAGGTCTCGGAGACCTCTGTGTTCCACCCGGTTTTACCCAGCGGTCAGCCCGGCGTATCTCTGACTCAGAAGCTCTGGTGTTGTGCACAGTTGACTCCGGTTGTAGCTAGGTTGCTACCTCCGTTAGCTTAGCTCCCACCTCCGCATTAGCTTTGGGTTAGCTTCAGGTTAGCTTGTAGCTATTTCGACCGGGTGTCGTCAGTTGATCCCAGCCTTACAGCCACACCCTCAGCTCCACCTCTCTTCCCTTTTTTGGAATTGTCTGGGCTTGACGGAACCTGTGACACGGTCAAAATGGCGGTGGTGGCCACCTCCCATTTTAGTACAAAAACGTATTATTGGAGTCTATGGAAAGGAGATGTCCAGTATATTTATGTCGATGTGTAGGACGGATCTGTAAGGACTTCCTAAACACCCCGCAGGAATATTTCTTCACTCCTAGTAGAAATACCAATTTTCTTCCTTGTTCCTCTTACTCCAGTCCTTAATAAATGATCGTGCTGGTCAAAAGTCAGGAACGTCATGATGAAGGGCCTTCTGAACACCATTGTTCCCCCATCAAAAACAAATATAATTTTAGGATGTCCTAAAAGCTCATTCTGTCTCTTATAAAGTGGCCTGACCCCTTTACCTCCAGATGACCTTCTGCAAACGCTCCAGCGATCACGAGCCAAAGTCTCCAGAGACACAATGATGACGACTCTATGTTCTCCGGAACTTTCACAAAATGCTCCAAATCCTGAAACAGATTTTTAATTGACCCTTCATGTGTGGCAACACATGCTGCACAGTTCAGAGTTTGTTGAAAGCAAAAATACGTCTTTGGAGGAAGCTCATTTCAGTCGTGTCCCCGTCAGAGGAACGCAGAGACGGAAGAGGGAGCCACGCCCTGACTCGCCCATCTGACATTAAACCCGAGGTATCGAGCCAGCATGGCGGCCCCAGCTGTACCAGGCAGGTCAGGGAAAGGTCATGTTTGGCTTCCTCTCGCATCGTCTTTTGGTTTTCAAAACCCGTTTGATGAATTTCACACGAATTTCTCTGAAATTTGGAAACCTTTTGCTCAGAAAAATTCTTAATAATAAAACTTTCAGTTGAGTTACGGTTTTGGAAAGAAAACATTCAAGTTATCTTTTTTAGCTGCCAGAACCGTTTGTTGTGAAGCTGCTGATTGGCCCAAAGCCTGGGTTCCCACAGCGTTTGATTCCTAGATCCACAGACGAGGCCGTACGAAGCTGACGGAGAACAGCTGCTGTCTGCAGCGCAGCAATGTAACAGCGGTACGGTCATTCCAATCTAGAGGGTTGATTATGTAAATGATCGGCCAGAGGCAGAAGTGTAGTGTAAATGCTTTTGAAAACCAAAAGACGATGCGAGAAGAAGCCAAACATGACCTTTCCCTGACCTGCCTGGTACAGCTGGGGCCGCCATGCTCGCTCGATACCTCGGGTTTAATGTCAGATGGGCGAGCCAGGGCGTGGCACCCTCTTCCGTCTCTGCGTTCCTCTGACTGGGACACGACTGAAATGAGCTTCCTCCAAAGACTTATGTGAAGCGAACTAAAAGCTCAGCTGAAACGGAGTTTGGGATTTTCACCACTGGATTTTCAGGAAAATCCTGTTTTTTAGAACAGAAGATATCTTCAAACCAGCTGATGACATCACTCTGGACACTTCCTGCGTCAGCCTTGCAGCAGACGACGACGTGTCATCAGTCAGACGTAGCTCCTGAAACCTCTGCTCGGCGAGGACGGGTGTTGGGTTTCCCGTTAGACGTCTTTAAGGGACGAATGCGAAACAGTAATTCACTGATTAGAGGAGAGAATTTCTATTTTCTATGACTTTTGACAAAATTCCTTAACAAAATTAAAAAACTCAACCCAGTTTATCTTAGATGATAAAGTCTAGTTACACTGAATCTACAGTTGTCATGCAGAGGCTGGCCGGGTTTTCTTTAAGATGCTGAACCTTACAGCCGGATGAACAGACTCCAGGCTCTTATCTGCTGGTCCTTTTCTTCCTAAAGCTGGAAAACATTTTGTGTGGTGCGACAGTAAATGAACCGCCTCTCCTCCGCCCGGCACTGGCGTTCATCGCTCCTGCTCAGTCTGATTTGTCTTTTCTTTTCCAGCAGACTCTGAAGCAGAAGCTCACTAACAAACCGATCAGTAACAGCACCGCGGCTGCTGCCGTGAGGAGAAACAGGATGACATCTACAGAGCGGTACACGTGCCAGGGCAGCTTGTAGGCGTCGCTTCTCAGGTGAGCCGCTCCTTTGTGTCTCATGACGAACTCTATCCAGAAGACGGCTCGCTCCAGCGGCTTCGTCGGCTGATCTCTGTGCAGTCTGGAGAGCCTCTGCATGTTCGCCCTGTAGGAGGACTCGGTCAGCACTTCCTGGATGGTTTTCACTAATGTCTTCTGATTCAGTTCAGAAACATCCAAAATCCTCGCAACACCTTTAGCTCTCAGTCTGGAGAGGTTGTCTGCTTGATCAAAAACAAAGGGAATGCCTACCATAGGAACTCCGTGATACATAGCCTCATAAATCCCGTTTGTACCCCCGTGACTTATAAAGAGCTTAATGCTCGGGTGCCCGAGCAGGTCATTCTGGGGCATCCAGTCGAGCACTAAAGTGTTGTTGCCCAGGGACGCAGGCTTGATGCCCGTATACCTCCAGATGACCTTCTGGGGTAACTTAGCAAATGCAGCAGCGATTTCATGGGCTAAGTCAGGAGGAAGATCTCCAATCAAAGTCCCAAACGACATGATGATGACTCCGTGTTCTCCAGAACTTAGCACAAACGCCTCCAAATCTGGAGAGAGAGGTTTGGCAGGCTTACACTGGAACCCTCCCATGTAGACGACATTAGGCATGGTGGGTCGGGGAAACTCGAACACAAAGTCCACTCTCATGAGCCACAGGTCTGCTGCCTGAAACAGGGAGAAGTAGTCCACGTCTGGACCAAAGTAGCGCTTCGACAGAGCGGAGTAGTGTGGTCCGACCACCCGCCTGTACAGATGCATCCTCACGTTGTAAAAGATCATGTTTTTCACCCTTTCTAAGATGGTCATCCCATCTGTCAGTTCTGATGGTGGAAGTGGGACGTAGGACAGAGGAGAAGGTGCGATCGCAAAGTGCGCCTCGCCGTGAACAGTCCAGCGAGCGTTGAACACAACTGGCAAACCAAGGTGGTGGGCCAGGAACACGCCTCCGCCGTTCGCAGGGTCGGTCAGAACTGTTTCATATCCAGCGTCTCGGAGGGACTTCATCAACTCTTCGTTTTCAAACATGGAAACAATCATTTCACAAACCTTTCTGTGGAATTCAAAGAACTTGTCTTTCAGCTCCATGTCTAAAGCAAACCGGGCCCATGCAGACCCATAGCTCCGTTTAATTTTAATGACCTCGGAGACAAAAAGGCGGTAGAAATCCTCGTTTCCTCCCAGGGCAAAATCCACCGTGACTGCCTGATAATGTGGGGACGTCTCGCTGATGTACCAGCTGTCCGCAGCTCGGATTACAGTCACAGAGTGTCCCCGTAGATGCAGCTCCTCAACAAGTACCTTCATGTTCACCCAGTGGCTCCCGTCATGTGGAAACACCAGGACCTTCCCGCCACGGGCAGTTGTGACCATGAGACACAGCACGGAGAGGACGGAAACGCAGAATGATGACAGAAGCATCTTAAGTTTTGGTGCCGTCTGAAACAAGAGGAAAAGAAAACGTCATCCTACAAGGTTGCTGATCCAGCAAAGAGCGTCTCTGTTTGTAGGAGGAGCTCCCAACACACGGGGCCTCTGGGAAGATGAAGCCCTGCGTGGACGGTGCGTCCGACGTAACGGTATGAAATGACTGTTTTCCACCTAAAAGTCGTTTTCCCCCTCTCCTCTGAAACAGAACTAGTCTGCATGAGATACGGCCTCAAGGTCTCATGCATTTGCTCTAAACTGCTTCCTTTCCAGCTCAAGAATGAAGAATGGACTCTCTCCTTTTAATAAATCAAAGAACTCTATTTTAATTTCATCAAATACAGGCCATTTACAGTGTTGGGAGTAACGCCGTTTAAGTATAACGGCGTTTCTAACGGCGTTCTTTTATAGGTAACGGAATAATCTAATGAATTACTTTTCCCGCCGTTGCAACGCCGTTACCGTTACTGGGGATGGAACGTTGTGCGTTACTATGTGCTTGTCGAACGTTGAGCAACAGCGTGAGGCTTTCTGACCGCCACACTTCAGCTGCAGCCAGGGAGAGAGAAGTGTCAGTAACGCACTTACAAACACGATGATGATTGGCCGGGTGGGCGGAGACCCTCACGGTCTCAGTCGCTGCATTCTGTAGACACAATGGGAATAACTCCGTTTAAAATAACCGCGTTAATAAAAAATATTTCTTTCTGTAACGAGCAAACTAATTAATTATGTCTTCTTGTATCAAAACGTCGTTTCTGTTACTGATAAGAAAAAGCGTGCGTTAAGCAGCGCGGTGTGTTGAAGCTGTCATCATCAGCTGATCAGGAAGGAGCTAAAGAGGCAGATGTTTTCATCCAAGTGCGTCACGGCCCGTGAAGAACGAGGAAGACGTGATGAATATCTACGGCTGCAGACCCCCCGCAGATTTGTTGCTGCAGCAGCGAATCTGCGGGTCTGCAGTCGTGCCCTTAGCGTGACAGCGGGACGTCCTGAAGGTCCGCTCACCTGTTCACCGCTCAGACGTCCTGATCTTCTACCTTCCTAGATCATCCAGCTGTAACCTGTTTCTGATCATGTCTTTAGCCCCGCTGTAACACTGATGCATCAGTCTCAGACGGCATGGAGCTCAGGTGTTATCAGAACTACCTGTGTGTGTTTACCACCCAGCTTCAGCTCTTCTGTGGTTGGGTCTGACCCAAGTTAGTAAATGTGAGTCCTCCATCAGGCTTGTGCCTCTTCTAGTGTCATTTTAAAGTATTTTATTTATTTATTTAACCGTTACTAGATTACCTGCAACAGAAATGCTGCTAAAAACACACAACTATGTGAAGCTGGAAAAATTAAAATACTGTGCAAAATTACATTTATTTCTGTAATTTAACTAGACTGAGAGACCATTTAAAGGCTCGGGAACCTTTACAGGTGTTTCTATTTGCAATTATACATTTTGGCTGATTGGGGTCTTGTTAAATATCACACAGTGACCTTTTAATAGTCTAGATTAGTGTAATGTTCCTATTAGTAGTTCCTCCTGTTAAGTGCGTATTTGTTTAAATTATTCAGGTTTATATAAAACATTTGGACATACATTTTATTATGTTCAGTCATTAGTCATTTATATTTTACTATTGTAGTCATTCTTGCATTCTTTAATGAAAAAGTAACTAAGTAGTTACTTTTGTTGGTAATTAGTTACTTTTATGATCTTGTAACTCAGTTAGTAACTGAGTTACTTTTTTGACAAAGTAATCAGTAACTATAACTAATTACTTTTTTAAAGTAACGTTCCCAACACTGGCCATTTACCATTCAATAAAGCTAATCAAACAAAGTGTTAGTCAATAATAAGATGTGGCCAATCTGTGAAATGAAAATATTAATTACTTTATTATAATCCTACAGAATATAATAAGTAATATGACTTTAAATGTTCCACTAGGACTGATCTCACGTAGCGTTAAGACATGACACATTGCTTTACTGATCCAATCAGAATCTGACAGATCTGACGGAGGCGTGGTTTTGGTGGTGTTTGGTAAATCTGTCATCTTTTCATTCGACCATAAACCAAAACATCCGAAGTATAAAACTATGCCCACGTCATCTTTAACGCCAGTTCAAAGTGTTCTAGAGAAGTTGTCGGAGTGGCCAATCCGTAACTTTCCTCTTCAGCCGACAGAACCAACGACAAGCTGGATAAAATCTGTTGCTGTTCCACCTGCTGCAACGGTTCCTTTCAGAATAAAAGCTGAACCATCACGACCCAGTTTTGGGTCTTGCTAGATGCCAACAAAGCCGTCGTGACCTGGAAGTATCTCAAGACGGATGGTCGGCTGCCTTGGCTGCTTCTACAAGCTCCGGCTCTATAAGGTCAAGCTGGACCTCGACATTCCTGATCTAACGGGGACTTCCTGGAGGGTACGTAGGCCGACAAAACGGCGTCGAATGTGTTTATGAATCTCCAGATCAAGGCTTAGAGTGAAGACATCACCTTCACTCCCATCAGAACTAATCGTTTCTTCGGATTTGCTGGTTCTGAACAACATTCCACCCCACCCCATTCACCGTCTCATTCACCTTAGTTACACCACACATTTAGTGTTAAAGTCGGTCTAGTTTAATTTGTTTAGTAATAAATCTTTAAACTTTTAAACTTGACTCTCTCTTCTGTTGTCTCTGAGTGAATATGAAGCTGTTATCTAATCTCTGCAATAAAAAGGTCCAACCTTCTGGTTTAAATAATCTCTCAGATCCATAAGGTGGATTTCATATTTCCTATGGGATCTTTTGTCTTATGGCTTATTAAATAACATATAAATTAAATCATCACACAGCTGTAGATAAACAGCAGAACGCGGCTCAGCCTGCACGTAACGGAAAGTCGTTTCTTTTTCCACACAAACTGAAAAATGAGGCGTGAACGTGACATAAGAGCTGAAACCTGCAAGGCTGAAGCTGCAGCGGACCTCTTCCTTGTTACAGAGCCGTCCCACCCTTAAAGCTGCTTGGGAGAGATTCTTGTCTTTCTGGGTCGCGTCAGCGTTCAGACCGTCGTTTTTACATGACGTGTTTCTGCTGCCGTCATTAAGCTACACGACCTCAAACCAGGAGACGAGGAACAAGACAACAACTCACAAATGAGCCTTCTGTGGCGTGTCTGCACTCTGCTGCGGTAAAGCTGAGGAACGAGTTTGAAAAGTGGCCGCTTTGAAAAAAAGTACTTCCTTCCTTGTGGCTTTTTTTAAGGGCAGCGTTATTCAGGAAGTGTTTCTCTGCTACAAGCTCATTAAAACTGCCAAACCTCAAGAAAGATCTGAGAAACTCGTCTTTATCTGAAGTGAAAAAGGCGAAATGATGAAACAGTCTGCCTGATGAAGTGTTCGCATGTCTGCAGAAACAAGTAGAGACAAACAGATGCCGCCTGCACCGTCTGACGGCTCCTGGTTCGTGTTCAGACGGGCTCCATGTGACAGCAGGGTCTGTCCCCTCAGGGACACGGTCCTCTGGTAATGTTTGTTTTCTGTGTTCTGTCCAGGATGACTGGTTGATGTGCACACAATCAGTCTTCTGTTTATGAATGCATGTGTTGATTTTCTACTTCTGTTTGAGTTACCAGTGACTTGGAGTTTCCCATGGAGTTTCTCACCTGCAGCTCACCTCCTCAGGAAGCCTAATCAGCACTGATGGCATCTGCCTACTCCCAAGGGAGGGGAGATTCATGTTTCTGCTTGTGTTTAAGGATATTTTCTGTTATGGATAGGGAGTTTGTAATTATGATTTAGTTATCTGAGTTACCCGAACTGATTAGACTGGTGTGTGTGTGTGTGTGTGTGTGTGTGTGTGTGTGTGTGTGTGTGTGTGTGTGTGTGTGTGTGTGTGTGTGTGTGTGTGTGTGTGTGTGTGTTAATTGTTCCCCTCTTGTTTGGAGTGGTCTGATCAGCCACTGTTTAAGCTGAACCTGGTGCGTCTGAAAGGTGATGGTGTCATTCTGACTGGTTTACATTGATTAGGTTAAGTTCATGTGAACTTCCAGCGGTGCTTCTCTGGCTGGTTTGTGAGTCGCTGACGCTCCACCACGCCTGCTACATGAAAACTAAACACACCTCTTTAGCTCCAGCGAGTGGAAGCAACATGTTAGACATGAAGACATCGCTGCAAACCTTTACTTCATTTAACTTGATGCATGCAGCATGCCTGCATCTGAGTATCAGCATGTGAATGGATGAATGGTTCACTGTAAAGTGCTGTAGAGTCCTCGGACTCAGAAAAGCATGTGTGGATCATTTATCATTAATGTCTTTCTAATCCATCCATCCAGGGTCAGGTCACAGGGGCAGTAGACTAAGTTGGGAGGCCCAGACTTCCCCCTCCCCAGCCACTTGGGCCAGCTCCTCCGGGGGAATCCCGAGGTGTTCCCTGGCCAGGTGAGAGACATAGTCCCTCCACCGTGTCCTGGGTCTACCTTTAGGTCTCCTCCCGGTTGCACGTGTCTGGAAAACCTCACCAGGGAGGCGTCCAGGAGGCATCCTGACCAGATGCCCGAGCCACCTCAACTGGCTCCTCTCCATGTGGAGAAACAGCGGGTCTACACCGAGCCCCTCCCGGATGACGGAGCTTCTCACCTTATCTCTACACTCTTCTGAGAAAACTCATTTCGGCCGCTTGTATCCGTGATCTCGTTCTTTCGGTCACTACCCAAAGCTCATGACCATAGGTGAGGGTAGGAACGTAGATCCACCGGTAAATCGAGAGCTTCTCCTTCTGACTCAGCTCTCTCTTCACCACGACAGACCGGTACAACGCCCGCATCACTGCAGATGCAGCACCAATCCGCCTATCGATCTCACGCTCCAGTTTCCCCTCACTCGTGAACAAGACCCTGAGATACTTAAACTCCTCCACTCGGGGCAGGACCTCATCCCTGACCCGGAGAAGGCGTTCTACCCTTTTCCGACTCTGACTAAGTGGAGGAAAATGGATGGTCAGAAGAGGTTCGTGGGCCTGTGTTTCATGAAGTTAGAATAAAAGAAACAAATGTGATCATGTTTTATTTAGTGTTTATTTCATGTGGGGCAGTTCAGTCTCACAACTAAACGTGTTTCAGGTAACAAAGGAAAACAACCTGAAAACGTTTCCACCTGCAAAAGTTGCAAGAGCTCGTTAGGTGTCAGCTGCTGCGTGTATAAATAAACACGTGTTTACAGCTGATTTAAAGCAGCATTGTTTTAATGGCGTCCTTCATTTGCGGCTCTTGGCTCAGGAGAGCTTTAGCTTGCTGTCGGCCCGCCTCGTGTTTGACTCTAAAACACAGAAATACAGAAAAGTAGCTCCGCCATGCTTGTGTTTATTTACTGTTCATTTTTTTATTAATATTTGTGTCAAGTTGCCATGTTGTTGTGAAGCTTTTGCTGTTTGTCTGGAAAAAGAAAAAAATAATAAAAAAATGTACATTTTCAGGCAAATTAAACATTTTTAAAAGGAAAAGACGCTCCGTTCTGACGCCGCTAGAAGTAAAAAAAAAACAAGCAGAAAAGAAAATGACATCATCACAAGTCCATTCAGTCATTTAAGGAAAAACAGAAAACTTTCTTATGCAAAAACAAACCAATTTAAGTTTAGAGTTGAGTATTTATTGAGTTTCTTCACTCAGGTGCAGCAGCACGACTGATTAGATCACCAGCAGGTGTGTGTGGGTGGCTCCTTCATAAGGCAGGCTACGCCCTCACTAATGTTTGCTGAACTTGGAAAAAGGCTGACAGTCAGAACTGTTGGAGAATGAATGTAATAATGATCTGTAGAGCCATCTGCTCTTTAAAAGTTTTATAAAGGAGGCCATTTATCTGTTTAAAGCAAATGAACTCCCAAACAACAGAAGGCAAGCTGTCCGAGTCTTCCTGTGAGCTGCAGCAGGTTCTGCCTAAAGCCACCGAGGGGCACGTGCATGGCTGCAATCTGTATAACAGCTTTAAATAACAAACGTGTGAATAAATAACACGGCCATGTTCAGAACGTTAAAGCCAACTACCGCCACCGTGGGAAACCCTCTCATTATTCACGCTTTACTTTGCGTCTGCACACGGCGCTACAGAAACACCTGATGAACAGGATGAGAGTAAAAACCACGAGCAGAGCTACTGCGGTCAGGAAGAGGACTACATCTACAGAGTGGTAGATGTACCAGGGCATTTTGTAGGATTGGGCTTTCAGGTGAGCAGCTCCTTTATGCCTCATGACAAACTCGATCCAGAAGAGGGCGGTGTCTATCGGCTTCATCGGTTGGTCTCTGTGCAGCCTGGAGAGTCTCTGCATGTTGGTCCTGTAGGACGGCTCGTTCAGGACTTCCTGTAGAGTTTTAAAGAAGTTGTCATCTTTGTCTGCGGTACTCAGTGAAAGAATTTTGGCTCCTCCTCGGTCTTCCAGGCGGATCAGATTGTCGTATTGGTCAAAAAACAGCGGTAAACCCACCACTGGGACGCCATGACAGATGGCCTCTTGGACTCCATTCGTTTCACCTTGAGCTACGAACAGTTTTATTTTCGGGTGTGCTAAAAGGTCTTTTTGTGGCATCCAGTCAACCAGGAGAGTGTTGTTTCCCAGAGTGGTGGGTCTGTTACCTTTGTAGGTCCAGATGACTTTCTGAGGCAGTTTAGCGAAGGCTGCGGCGACCTCGTCAGCCACGTCATCAGGAAGCTGACTCACAAAGCTTCCCAGGGACATGATGATGAACCCATGTTCTCCAGAACTCTGGACAAACTCCTCCAAGTGCTCAGGAAGTGGTTCTGGATCTTTACAGTGGAAGCCCCCCATGTACACAACATTAGGCATTGTGGGACGAGGAAAGTCGAACACAAAATCGGTTCTCATCAGCCAGATGTCTGCATCTTTCATCATGTGATCAAAGTCGTGATCAGGCCCAAGATATTTGTCACATAAAGGCTGGTAGACTTGTCTGATCGCTGTGAACGTTTGTAATTGGGTGACTTCGTACAAAAACACGTTCTTAACTCTTTGAAAGAAGGTCATCTTGTCCGTTGAGCTAGTTCCTACGACAGGAACGTACGACAGCGGTGAAGGAGCGAGGGCAAAATGAGCATCTTCTGGTATTAACCAGCGAACGTTATAAACCAGGGGTAGATTCAGATACTTGGCTACAATAACTCCGTTGCCCCAGCAGGGGTCAGTAAGAACCAGGTCAAACTTGCTCTCGTTTAACGTTCTCACCAGCTTTGGATCACCAAGCAAGGATGAGACTAGTTCACTCACATCTCTGTGAACCTCAGCGAGCGTGCTCACCATTCCTACAGTCATGTGGAGAAAGCTGATGAAGGGTAGAGCTCCCCTTTGAAACTCGATGAACTCACTGAGAAGTTTAGTCACCAACTTTTTATCCAAACTCTTTTCCACAGGAACGGTGAGGGTGTTGTAGGAGGAGTTTTCCTTGATGAACCAGCTTTTGCTGGAACGTGCAACAGTTATGTTGTGTCCTCTGGAGTGCAACGCCTTAAGAAGGACCTCCATGTTTATCCAGTGGCTGCCTTCGGTCGGAACCACCAGGATATTCCCACCTTCACAGGCTTTGGGAATCAGATGGAGCAGGAACACAACGCTGCAGCAGCAGATCAGCCTCATCTGGAATTAAAACATCCATTGAACAAAATAAAATATAGAAATAAGCAGAAGACTATGATTTTCCTTGTCCCCTCTTTGTGGTGATGGTATGACCTTCACCTCTCTCTCTTTATTCTGCTCTCCCCACCTATTCCACCTTCCTCAGGATCCACCGATTTCCCTCTTTCCTGTTCACTCTCTCTCTTTCTTTACATTTTTTAAACACAATTGTTTATTTTTTGCTCATTTTAAACATATTTTAAATAATTTTCTAAATGAGTTTTTATATTTTACATGTTTTGTTTTTGTGAAGTGCCTCGTGGTTTTTATCTTGAGGCGCTTCTTGTACGTTAGGCTTTTCATCTTTATCATTTCTCAGCTTTGACTTCAGAAAAAAAGTTTTCTATTCACAAAAACCAGTTTGATTTAAAACCAATGAACATTTGTTGATAAAGAATTGTTTCCACTTACTGTCGGTCTTTGTCCAGATAGGAAAGTCACTTCTGAGGACTGGGGGGTGTCGCACCAACAGGAGAAAGTCGGAGTCGAGCGAAGTCATGCAGAGACGAGGAGCAGGTGCCCTCCAACCTACAGGATACCTCTAAAGCTACTAAAAAGCAAACAACCTGTGTGCAGAGAGAACAGTGATAACAGGTTTACTGATTGACAGGGTCAGTGAGATGTCACTCACACCTAATAGTTGTGTAAAATCTGTTTTACTGTTAGTCTTTAATTTTGGTAAAGCAGCATGTTTCTTCTTTTGTGGTTAATCGTGTCTACCTGGACTGCAGTGCATAAAAACGCTTTCATTACAATTTTGCTGTTTTCAGTTTATACTACATAAACTTTCAATTCAATTCAAGTTTATTTATAAAGCTCCAAGTCAGGACCAGAGTCGTCTCAAGGACCTTCACACAGTAAACAATTCAGGTCAGGTCATTAAGCCAATCAGTAACAAGTTTCCTATAGAAGGAACCCAGCAAATTGTATCGAGTCACTGACTAGTGTCAGAGTCTTTACAGCAATCCTCATACTAAGCAAGCATGCAGCGACAGTGGAGAGGAAAACTCCCTTTTAACAGGAAGAAACCTCCAGAGAATCCTGGCCCAGTATAAGCAGCCATCCTCCACGACTCACTGGGGATGGAGAAGACAGAGCACACACACACACACACACACACACACACACACGCACACATATATAAACTTTATTGTATTTATCCTAGTGGATCTATAATTAAACGGATAAACTAGTAGTAGCACATCCAACGTCAAGGAAAACAAAAAGTTATTATCAGGAGAGGGAGAATGTTTAAGTGGTTAGCAGCAGTGTGCTAGTCGATGGCCCCCTCCATGAGGCCACCACAGCTCAGCAGAACATCGTTGTAGCTTCTTCTGGGGAGAAAAACACTTAGAGAGAAAATAAAGTTAACAGCTGAAATAGCAGGAAATAATACAGTTAAAGAGCAGATTGTAGAAGAAAGCAGTAGAGTGTGGAAAGTGGTCAGTGTATCCTCCAGCAGTCTAAGCCTATAGCAGCATAACTACAGAGATAACTCTGGATAATCTATCCTATTTAGATGGAGGCATGTTGGAGGCAGGGCAAGGGAGAGCCGTCTTTACCGACTGTACACTCCACCTCCCTCTACTCCCCCACTTGTCCAGATCTAGGCTAACATCAGATTTTAACCATAGGCCCTATCAAATAAAAATGTTTTAAGCCTATTCTTAAAAGTAGACAAAGTGTCTGCCTCACGGACTAAAGCTGGGAGCTGGTTCCACAGGAGAGGAGCCTGATAACTAAAAGATCTGCCTCCCATCCTAATTTTAGACATTCTGGGAACCACCAGTAGACCTGCAGTCTGAGAGCGAAGTGCTCGGTTAGGAACGTATGGAACAATCAGATCACTGATGTATGATGGAGCTTGATTATTAAGAGCTTTATATGTGAGAAGAAGGATCTTAAAATCTATTCTGAATTTAACAGGTAGCCAATGTAGGGAAGCTAAGACAGGAGAGATATGATCTCTATTTTTAATTCTCATCAGAACTCTAGCTGCAGCATTTTGGACAAGCTGAAGACTTTTAACTACATTCTGTGGACTTCCTGAGAGTAATTGGATTACAGTAATCCAGTCTTGATGTAATAAACAAGAACAAAGCTTCCGTGTACCTTGACACAATAATAAAAGTATTAAATAATTCATTATAAAGATGTTCTACATGATATGGAAAAGCGCACAGTTCATGTCAGGGCACAAAGTCAAAGGAACCGACTGTAGACAGTCTGGATGAAACCTGCTCTAGGCCTCAGGCTGGGTGACGTTGGTCTTTCAGCAGGACAGTGTCTTTGGCTCTGCCAGAGATCAGTTCAATAGAACATGTTTAGAAATGGCTCCACCAACACCTCCCATCCAGCCTTCTCTAGGAAACCACCCAGGGATGGGCATGCCAAGCTTGTGGCATCATGTTCAAAAAAACTTTTAACTGTAACCAAGTTTTGTGCAAAGTGTGAATGTACACCAGTGTAGTAGAATAGACTTTATTGATCTCACAGTGAGGAAATTCACTTGTTACAGCAGCACCAACACTTGGTATAGTAATAGCAAAGGTACATGTACATATACACATAGGCAGTACACTAGTATTGTAACCTTCGACCACGGAGAATGAAAAACCCGGGTTCCAGAAGTATGCAGCACACTGTAGGGGACACAGACATGCTGGGTAAACCAGTAGTACACAAGTATTAAACACATACTGAGTGATGCATAATCCTGCATCATAAATGTCTGTCCTGCATAATGATATATTATTATTTCAGTAAATATGCAAAAATCCCAGACTTTTTGCATGCTGTCGTTGTGTGTGTGTTGGGGGGGTAGGCATGTGGAAACAGTGATGTGTCATGAACCTTTTCCAAACCAGGTTAGAAATGGGTCAGCGTTAACAAACTTGGCATTTCTCACAAGTATTCTGCTTCAAACCAGTTTAACCTGAACTTTGAGGGTTTCCTGCACGACAGTCTGGCTGATCCAGATAAGAAAAGTCATGTTAGTGTTGTACTTTACCGCACTCGAGTAAATTCAGAGTCCATTTAACACAGAGATAAGGAGCGGATGCCCTCTAACCCCACGAATCATGCTAACTCTCTTAAAAAGCAACAAACTGTGCAGACTGAACAGTGATGACATGTTTACTGATTACAGTCGGTGAAACATCAGCCTGATCAAACAGGTGTGTAATAGCTCACGTGCACTTTGGCTCATAGTGCAGAAACACAAAGGAATGACTTGTTATTAGAAAATAAAGTCTTTGTTACAAAACAAAAACAATTAGAAATGACCTTACAAAGCTTCCATCAACACATCATGTAGATATTAGAAGTGTGTAAAGTAGCATTGCTTCCTGCACGGATGTTGTCGGTGCACAAAGTGTGTTTTAGTTTTTGCTGTAAACTTTCTGAACTCTGCCTGAGGTCAGAGAGCGTAACGGGGTGAGATGAGTCCCTGACCATATTCTGTGGTCAACTGTACCGTCCTTAGGGAGGGGAGGTGGTCTGCTGGGTTCTCCTGCTGAGCAGCCGGAGAACCACATTCAGAAGAAATGTGTCCAAATGTTCTCATTAGAAGAGTGGTAGAACCCGTATCGATGCTCTGAGATGTGAGCTTTACATAAAATAAGACCTAGAGCCTAAATGTTTACGTTTATGTGCTTAGCAGACGCTTTTACCCAAAGCGACTTACAATTTTTTTTTAACCTGTAGGGCATGTTGTGATCTGTGGGGGAAACCGGAGTACCCGGAGGTAACCCACGCATGCATGGGGAGAACACGCAACTCCACGCAGAAAGGCCGCAGCTGAGTTTCAAACCTGCAACCTTCGTGCTGCGAGGCAACAGTGCTAACCACTGTGCCACCATGCAGCCCATGAAATATGGAGATTACAATAAAAGATAGAAGATAAAAACCGTAGTCAAAAACTAAGTAAAAACACAAATCATAAAAGGCTAAAGGAAGAATAAAAGAGCGGGTGGCTACCAGAAAATCCCTGATAATAAAATGCCTGCTGAAATAGATGCGTTTTAAGCTTTGATTTGAAAGTGCGCAGGTCGTCGGGGAGTTTGTTCCAGAGTGAAGGGGCCATCACTGAATACGAGTGTTTATATCTAGAACGTGGAAGTTCTAGAAGGACCTTGCCCATTGACCTCGTAGCTGGTGCTTGCTTACGTAGAGACAGAGTCAGAGAGGTGGGCAGCACCGAGGCCGTGGATACTCTTGAACAGTGATCTACTCAGAAAGACACCGGGAGCCAGTGTAGCTTTGAGAGAATGGGAGTAATATGGCTCCACCTGCATGTGTTTGTCCGGAGACGGGCTGCAGAGTTTTGAACTAGCTGCAGACGAGCTATGGGGGACTTGGGCAGCCAACAAATAGAAAAGGACAGTAGTAACGTCTCAAAATGATTGCATTTAGTGGCAAAAGGCCACACATATTGATAGGGTTGAAATTAATTATTGAACAGTTTGATTCATTAAATTCTTCACATCATGTTTTCCTGATTAGCTTTTTTTAAATGTGCGCTGCAGTCTGGACACGTCTTCCTGAAGCACAATGTGGTAACCTAGGTGCTGTGGAGGAAAAAACACCCAAACCAGGCAGGTAAAAGGCAGAAACGGCCCAAAGGATGGCATCGAGTGACACTAGGAGCAGACTGGCTAATGCTAGCACATGGATATATTTAGATGTGTTATTTTTACTAGGATGAGTGATACTAATACAAACCTAGAATACTACTGAAGTATTGGTGAATTTTGTTGTTCTATTTTCATGTTATTGGCAGCGGACCAATCTGGTTTCACTTCAAATGTCGTCACAAAGATTATTCGATTAATCAACAGAGGATTCTGTAAAATATTTGATGGCTGCAGCCCAACATAATATATCCAATCATTATTCACGCTTTATTTTGCGTCTGCACACGGCGCTACAGAAACACCTGATGAACAGGATGAGAGTAAAAACCACGAGCAAAGTTACTCCAGTCAGGAAGAGGACTACATCTACAGAGTGGTAGATGTACCAGGGCATTTTGTAGGATTGGGCTTTCAGGTGAGCAGCTCCTTTATGCCTCATGACAAACTCGATCCAGAAGAGGGCGGTGTCTATCGGCTTCATCGGTTGGTCCTTGTGCAGCCTGGAGAGTCTCTGCATGTTGGTCCTGTAGGACGGCTCGGTCAGGACTTCTTGTAGACCTTTCAGGAAGTTATCTTCGTTCACGGTACTCAAGGAGAGAATTTTAGCGGCTCTCTTCTGTCTCACACGGAGCAGATTGTCGTATTGGTCGAAAACCAAAGGCAAGCCTAGCAGTGGGACCCCATGACAGATGGCCTCTTGGACTCCATTCGTTCCACCGTGAGCTACGAACAGTTTTATTTTCGGGTGTGCTAAAAGGTCTTTTTGTGGCATCCAGTCAACCAGGAGAGTGTTGTTTCCCAGAGTGGTGGGTCTGTTACCTTTGTAGGTCCAGATGACTTTCTGAGGCAGTTTAGCGAAGGCTGCGGCGACCTCATCAGCCACGTCATCAGGAAGTTTGCTGACAAAGGCCCCATGAGACATGATGATGAACCCATGTTCTCCAGAACTCTGGACAAACTCCTCCAAGTGTTCAGGAAGTGGTTCTGGATCTTTACAGTGGAAGCCCCCCATGTACACAACATTAGGCATTGTGGGACGAGGAAAGTCGAACACAAAATCGGTTCTCATCAGCCAGATGTCTGCATCAATCTTAATCTGATCAAAGTCGTGATCAGGACCAAGATATTTTTCACATAAAGGCTGGTAAGCTAGTTTACTCGCTAAAACCATTTGTATTTGACCCACCAGATATAACAGCATGTTCACTACTCTTTCAAAGAATGTCATTTTATCAGTAAAACCAGATTGTACTATAGGAATGTATGATAATGGTGAAGGAGCGATGGCTAATTGAGCATCTTCTGGTATTAACCAGCGAACGTTATAAACCAGGGGTAGATTCAGATACTTGGCTACAATAACTCCGTTGCCCCAGCTGGGGTCAGTAAGAACCAGGTCAAACTTCCCATCGTGTAATTTCCTAACCAAACCTGGGTCATCCAGCAGGGCAGGGACAAATTCACCAATGTTTCTGTGAAGTTCTGACATTTTGCTGAACATGCTAGCTACCAAATGGAGAACAGTGGTCAAGGGAAGAGTCCCCCGTTGGAATTTTATCATCTGGAGCAAGAGTTCCTGTACAAAGTCTCTCTCTACGCCTCTTTCCACAGGAACGGTGAGGGTGCTGTAAAAGGAGGAGTTATTCACCACAAACCAGCTTTTACTGGAATGTGCAACGGTAATGTTGTGTCCTCTGGAGTGCAAAGCCTTAAGGAGAACTTCCATGTTGATCCAGTGGCTGCCTTCAGTGGGAATCGCCAAGATGTTCCCGCCTTCGCAGGCTCCGGGAATCAGGAGGAGCAGGAATGGGACACTGCAGCAGCAGATCAGCCTCATCTGGAATGGGAGGCGCGTGACAATCACTTCATTTTAAAAAGTTTAATCTGTTTTTTGAGAATAAACAATTAGAAATATGTGGTTTGATAATCATCCCCTCACTGTTGAATAAGGGTTTAAAATAAAATAGTCCATTATTAACATCAGCAGCAGCACTTTTCACATTATTTTCAAAAATGAGGAAGAATTTCTCCATAAATGTTTGGATTTCTATGTCAGCTTACAATGGCTTAGTTCAGCTCACTAAGTTCTTTAGTGAAGGACTTTTTTTTATAAACTTTTGATTTATTTTACTTACCACTGAAGAAATTGGGTGAAAGTCACACTTATTACATTTTTATAACACATTGTTACAAGACGATGTATTAAAGGCTTGTGAAGTGAAAACCAAACTGTTATCTGTAACGATAAGCTGAGTAACCTTTGAGCAGTGAGAACTGGAGGCTGATTACAGGTCCAGAGCAACATTTAGTGTCAGCGCTTACGGCTAATGTCATCATCATCATCATCATTCTGCTCATTTAGAACATCAGCTTCACTAAGAATCGATAAACGAGGAGACAAAATGTATATCAGGTTATATCGGATATTTAAATGATCGTTTTGCATTTGGCCTATTACTAAATAAGGCCTCACCATTTATCTTGATAAAGCCTCAACCTCCCGTAATAAAAATAAACTAATCATCAACTTTATATAAAAATGTATTAAACACGCGCTGAAAATTTTGCCAAATTTTGCCAAATCAGCCACCAACGTTAGGGGTTTCTTATATTTATCCTAATGAAAAAGTTCATCCGCTTCCGTTCCGTAAATGCGCGCTCCCGAGGCCGAGAGAGACGAACTACACCAGAGGAAACAACATTGGACATAACGGTGAACGTTTTAGTTTTAGTTCTAGTCAGTGGCTGAGGAAAAAATAAATGTTTCACCTCGGATAGTTTGATTGAACTCTTCCCAAGTTCTTCCTGGTCTCCCTAATCGGGCACGTTTGTTTACTTCCGGTTATGGACGTGCGGCGGGAAACGACGGACCAGTCCAATCCACTGGCAAGAACAGGGGGGTTGTAGCATGTTTTCATTTACCATTTTAAAGTTGTTTAGACTTATACAACTTAAAAACACATTTAACTCATATTTTACAACATAAATACAGAGAATGTAAAATCAATGTAGTGATTTTCTGACGTATTTTAAGCCAAAACCTGATGACGACATGTGCCTGATGGTAAAGTCCTCGAAACCAAAATTCATTGTATTATGTTGTGTTGTGTTGTGTTACAGCTGTTTTTCGAGTTCATTGATTTTCTAAGATTACCAAGTCTTACTAATTAGCATCAATTGGAAAAACAAACCATAAATAATTTTATTAAATACATAAAATATATAAATGACTACTGCATTACAGCTCAAGTCTAAAATATCACAATATTTCTGCCAAAGATAGTGTCTCATAAATCCAAGTTATGGAATAGGCTATAGGACCAGCCTTTTGAAATACTATAAATAACAATATAAATTTACTATAAACACATTTGAATAAGTATAAATAAAATCCAGGATGTCATGTTTATGTGCCTCATACTGACAGCTGGCGGTCTTAAATCGCAGATCAATTGGTAGGTTATGTTTAAATCTTATTGTAGCAATAAATGCTAAATTGCTAACCCTAGAAGAAAATCTAAAAAGTAAAAAGATATCCAAATACAAGATAAGAAATTATTACCTCACATGAATTTTAATAATACTATTATTTTTATATTTTAATCATTTTAACACTAATTTACCCAAATGAATACAACACAATACTGTGAATAATACAACTGCCCAAAAGAAAAGAAAGAAAAAGGGGCGTGATGCTGGTTTAGAAGGAAGGGCTGGATGAAGCTCTGACGGAGGAGGGGAGAGGAGGAGACAGGGCAGACGAGGATTTGTTGCCTTTTCACAGTTGGAGGGAGCAGGGAGAGCAGTGGCAGCGTCTAGAAGAGAAAAGGAGCTGCATGGAATGGAGGAAATCGATGCTGTGCTGAGGCTGTCGTCAAGACGACCCCCACATCCACCATCGCTGCCATGCTGTATTCTGTGTAATGGAAGAGAGGCAGAGCAGGTTCGTGTTCAGCCTTTTAATGCTCCTGTAGATCAGATGTATTACCTCTGAGAGGGTCGTGGTAGCACAGTAAAGGCAGAGGGCATCCTGATTGGTGCTGTTCAGTGTGTTAAAGGTGCATCGCTGCAGCTTGGTCCTTATGCAAGCAGTGTGATTGTCATGGAAACTAAACCTTAACCCAAAGCATGTTTAGAGCTATGCAGTCCTCATGATTCTAACGATTTCCCTTTTTTCACACAAGGGTTTTTCTTTTTCCCATTTGGCAGCTTTAGGATGCCCCGGAGACGAGCTGTCCAGAGCCAACTTTGATATGATGCTTGGAGCAGGAGGGGCGGTCACCTCTGTCCTCCTGCTGCTTCCTCTCCTGTGCTGGTGCCACCTGTGCCACTCTCTGCGTGAGTGTTGAACTCTTCATGTTAAAGGAAAGGAAAGCCTTGTTCTATCGTTTTCACTCTCTAATAAATATCTAATCTTTTGGTCTAAATGAAACTTTTAGCTCCTTAGACACAGCTTTTTTTAACACAAACATCAAAACAAAGACGTTTTCTCAGGCAGCGTATAAATTGGCCGCAGATCTTTCATTTATGTATTTATATTAATAAATATGTCTGTTATTTGCTGAATATAGACGTTTAGAGATCAGGAGTGGCACTGAGGATCAGATAGGTAATGGGAATTTGTTTATTTAACATTACTGTTGAGATCCTGGGAGATGTGGCAACTGGGATAATGTTCAGCTTCTGCAACAAACACAATAAAACCATTGATCCACTGAATAAAACGTGGATTTGATGACAAAAAATTTGATCATTTTATTCATTCAACTCCGTTCTAAACACCCCAAAGCCTCATTTAGCGTAAGTTAAACCACCAAATGGTTCCCGAGCGCAGCCGTGTCTGCAGCTCCCGCTCCCCAGGGGATGGGTCAGATACGGAGAACACATGTCACACACAGTGTGCGTGAGACGACTAACGGGACTTTAATCTTCTTTAGACTTAAGTTCATTGTTGCTTTAATATTAAATGATAAATGACCCACACTTATAGCGCCTCTCAGAGTAAGGACTCCAAAGTGCTTTACACTACAGTGCATCGTTCATCCATTCACACACTGATGGTGATGAGCTGCGATGTAGCCACAGCTGCCCTGGGGCGCGCTGACAGAGGCGATTACTTTTCTGTATAAAAATTAAACAGGAAGTGGAGTTCGACTCTGGTAGATGTGTTGCCTAAGGACACAACAGCAGCAGTCTCTGGTCGGAGCTGGGATCGAACCTGCGACCTTCTGATTACTGGGCAAACTGGACTTTCATTGAAGTCCTAGAAAATGAGACTGGTGGTGTCCAGTCCTGGTCCAGGATGTCTGCTCTCCTGTGTGATTCAGACGTTTCTGGGCTTTGACACCTGGTTTAGATGCCCTGGTCTCTCACAGATATCTGTAACACCTGGGTGCACAGTAGAGCCCTGCACGGGCCTAAAATCTGAGCCCATGTCCGGGCCGACCCGAGGGCCTAGGGCTTCAGTGCAGGGCTCTAGTGCACAGTGAACAGGTAAATAAAGCAGCTAGTGAAACAGGTGTGTCAAAAACAAGCAGGATGTCAGCCTTCAAGGGCAGAACAATCCATCTATAGAAATAAATCCTGAAAGACATCTAAAAGCTGCTCTGAGGGCTGGGATGATGGAAATAAATCTTCAGCTGCAGAAACACTGTCTGAATTATTCCGCAGCAGTCGCCATCATGTTTAAACAAGTCATCATTAAATATTAACTCTACTCAGAATTGTGCAGAATCTCCTCTCCAGATTATTTAGTGTCCTCTCTTCCTAACGGCGCTTCATGTTGGTGCATTTCTGACCCGGAGCATCTCAGGTGTTAACGTGGGAGTCTGGGGCAGATGAGGGCAGCACTGTTAGTCAGACGCTCGAAGTGGCGGCACACAGCAGACAAGGAGATGATGACTTTGCTGATGAGACGATCGTTGACTGCGGGCATTGCATTCGTGCACGCATCGATCCACGCGCTAACAGAGTGAAATATACCCTCACGGCCATTCTTGTGGTAGATTTTCAGCCACATTCATTGTCAATCAATAGTTTGTCACAAGGCCTGCTAAGATGCAGTGAAGGTCTGCTGCTGGGAAGTGATGGAGTACTTTGACCTATTTACTTACAGATGGGATCAATGTGCCTTTAAAACCTTCACGCGGTCCGGTGATACATCGAAGGCTTTAACGTCTGATGCTGAACGATGGAAATTCCAGAAAAGCTGCACCACCAGGAACTAGTGATGGGAATTACGGCTCTTCTTAGAGAGCCGGTTCTTTCGGCTCCCAAGTGGCTCCTCAGATTTTCTGAAGCTTAGAGTATCTCCAAAAATAATGCAAAACTATATGTAAAATGATTTTATTATGTAAAAAAATGCAATATATCAAATATTTATCATTTCTATGGATTTAATAACTGAACACTTACAGAAATCTCTACTTTCCGACTGCTGGCGCTCAGTTTCTCACCGTCTTCGTCGCACTCTCCTCTCTCTCGCTCGCTTTTTTCCTCCTCCTCATTCCCTCTCGTCTCCCTCCACCCACTTGTGCTCTGCTGTGTGTCTGAGTCTGATCCTCCCTCTTCCCCGCCCCTACCGCTCTGTGTGTGGACAGTCTGGACACACAGTTACACATGTTGACCAATCGCCTGTAGCTTTCACCAAAACAAGAGGGGAGGGGTTGGGGGGGTGACGGCTCCCAACGACGAGCCGGCTCCCGTCGTTCACTTCAAAGAGCCGGCTCTTAGAGCCGGTTCGTTTGCGACCGCCACATCACTACCGGTAACCCTTCAGACTGACTCGTTCACCGTCCCTATCCCAGCATCCGGATGCAGGAAGAATAATAAAAAAACATTTGGCCAACTAGCTGAAAATAAAATGGTGATTTTTCTCCACGGCTGCAAAAAGAATGACTGTGATGTTCCTTCTTCCACGCCGAAGACAACTCGAGGTTTCAGGGGATTTAGTAAAAACAAAACATCACAGAGGATTCTGGTCATCACTGAGCATCATCGTTATTCTACAGCTGTTTAGCACACCTGGGCATTTTTATGACAACAACCAGCTTTGCTTCAGTCCTCAGAAACTTCCGAAGACCAAAGATTCAGACATCGGAGGTAAAGGGTCAAACTTCAGCTGCAACAACTCCTATTGGTCTTTACATGGTAAATGCCTGTGTTTGATATAGTGCCTCCTAGAGTCCTAGAGCCCCCCAAGGCGCTTTACAATACAATCACCCATTCATACACACATTCACATGTGAGGGTGATGAGCTACAATGTAGCCACAGCTGCCCTGACGCACTGACGGAGGCGGGGCCTGTCGAACACGGGCGCCGCCGGTCCCTCCGACCACCACCAGCGGGCAGCGAGGTTTAAGTAACATAAAAGCAGCACTCTCAGCCAGGAGCGGGAATCGAACCCTCCAGTTGCTGGACAACCCGCTCCACCTCCTGAGCTGCTGCTTAAAAGCAAACGTAAGTTTATTACACGTTAAGTTAATGTAAATATTATATATGAAGACTCCTCCAGTGTGAGCAAAGACTAGATGCTCAGTTTTGGTAGGATGCTCACGTCTGACAGAGAAGAGGCGGCACCACTCACTTTGACTTATTTTAACATTTTTCTGTCGGTTGTGATTAAAAGACATCTCTCAGCTCGAGGCAAACCCAGTAGCTTTATTTTAATGGCGGATGTTCAGAGGTGAGACGAGTCGGCAGAACTGAGTCGTGCTGTGTTGATGGAGGGACAGACAGGAAGTGGGCCTACTCTGCCGTGCTTCAGTCACTCAGAGGCTTCTTCTGTCTCAGTTAGCCTAAATAAAATGTAATCTGACCGTAGACTGTTTGAGCTGTGATGAGAACACCTTCTGTACACGATGCAGTCTGACTCAAACAAAATAAACATTTATTTCTCATGTCACTTCTGTAAAATATAAAATATGTGGGTTAAAAGACCTCCTGACCTCCGTAGAGGTCATCCACAGCGCGTTCGATGTGATCGTCCTTCTGCTGATGTCATACCTTCTGTTTTATAAATACATTCAGCTTCTGAGCTGATGCTTTCCACATCTGTTATCATGCTCACAGGAGTGTGAGGTGAGGTTGGGGTTTAGTTTTCTTTACTGCGTCAATAAATCCTGCACTCTGCTTTCTTTGGCTTTATGTTTCCAGTCAGTGTTTCTGTTCTGATTTTACTTTCTTGATACCAGAAGCCTCAGCAGAGGTCACATCGATGAGCTTTGTACACACAAACAGCAGTTTGGCATGAGGGGAAGGTGCAATGATGGAGGCCAGTTTTAAATGGGTCCTTATGTGCAACAGGAAACTGCTCTATGAGCCTCTAAGTATCAAGTTCAACTTTATTGGGGTTCACATTCACCCAGGAGCCCTGATAAAGGGCCAAACACAACCCCATAATAGGGAGCCTGAGGCTCTTCCTTCTCCGGTCGGCTCACGGGTCCCTGAACGGGGCTAAAAGAGATATTCTAACCCGCTTTGCCTCACGCCCCGAATCACACAAACTAATGATGTGTTTCGACCACACCAGTCACGTACTTTGAGATTTATCAGCTTGTAAAGGGTCATGATTTTCATGACTACAAACCAGACGTTGGTATGTCCCATATATGATGTCACCACAGAGTCCCCTCCCCCCTAGCGTAGCTGCTACTCACCACATGGCCAGATTTATGGTGGCTCTTTCCTCCTGACGGAAGGATTTGAAGTTCGCTGAACTTGCAGCCATTTTCCCTGTTTTTCTCCGTGTCTGGTTCGATCACGTCACTTTGATGAAGCACATTTGTAGTCCTGGATTTATTTTCACACAAAAATTAACACTTTTTTGGCATCAGAATGTGTATTTAAAAGTCATGGACATCATTTGTGAAATCCATGGCTCATAAGCGGGATTAGAAAATAGTGCTTTTAGCCCCCCTCACTTGCACTCATTTTGTAGTTCGCCATTGGTCCAGAAGTAAATGTGTGTGACTCAGGCTTCCTATAAAGCCCTGCAATAATAAGACCCCGTCCACTCAGGGCTTAAATATATAACGAGTTGTGAGCTGATTGGCAGGTTTACCCTGAGAGCTTCAAGACCGCCTGAAGCTAGAAACCTTGAGCACAACCATGTACAGCATCCGGAATATTCAAGGCAAACTATGGGTTTATCTGGGATTCATTAATTGTCTGGACATTCCCAGTTTATCTAGGGGTGTTACACATGAGCTCAGACATTCTTCAGCAGCTGAGGCTAGCATTAGCTCAGGCTAGCATTAGCATTAGCTCAGACTAGCATCAGCAGTAGCTCAGGCTAGTTTTAGCATTAGCTCAGGCTAGCATCAGCAGTAGCTTGGGCTAGCATTAGCATTAGCTCAGGCTAGTTTTAGCATTAGCTCAGGCTAGCATCAGCAGTAGCTTGGGCTAGCATTAGCATTAGCTCAGGCTAGAGTGAACAATTGCTCAGGCTAGCATTATCACTAGCATTAGCTCAGGCTAGAGTTTGCAGTTGCTCAAGCTAGCATTAGCAGTTGCTCAGGCTAGCATTAGCTAAGGCTAGAGTTAGCAGTAGCTTGGGCTAGCATTAGCGTTTGCTAATGCTAGAGTTAGCAGTTGCTCAGGCTAGCGTTAGCAGTAGCTCGGGTTAGCATTAGCATTTGCTCGGGCTAGAGTTAGCAGTTGCTCAGGCTAGCATTAGCAGTAGCTCGGCCTAGAGTTAGCAGTAGCTTGGGCTAGCATTAGCATTTGCTCGGGCTAGAGTTAGCAGTAGCTCGGACTAGCATTTGCTCGGGCTAGCATTAGCATTTGCTCGGGCTAGAGTTAGCAGTAGCTCGAGCTAGCATTAGCATTAGCTCAGGCTAGAGTTAGCGGTTGCTCAGGCTAGCATTAGCAGTAGCTCAGGCTAGCATTAGCATTAGCCCAGGCTAGAGTTAGCAGTAGCTCGGGCTAGCATTAGCAGTAGCTCGGGCTAGTGTGGTTCTGCGGTTGGCATTATGTGACCTGCTGATTTGAGGATGTGTGTCTGTGTGTGTTATGACGCATTAAACCAGATTTTCTCAGAGCAAACTTTCTTATTAATTTATATAAAAGGCAGGTTGAAGATGGAACAGACTTTTTGGTACATTCGACAGCCCAAGCTACCTTTATCCATCGAGGTAAATGTGGTTTTGGCCCCTTTTAAAAAAAACAGCCAAAAGACCTCACAGCTGTTCTTGAATCAGCGTTCACGCGTTGCATTTTCTGTTTTTCCTCCAGGGATTCCAAATCTCTCCTCATATGCAAAAGCCGAGGACAAACTGTTCAAATATCTTTTTGAAAACTACCAGAAATGGGTTCGTCCCGTGGGACATCTGAACCAGACCATCTGTGTGAAGTTTGGCCTGGCTATCTCCCAGCTCGTTGACGTGGTGAGAATACGGAGTGTTTTTAGTGTTTTAAAGCTGTTTACCGAACATTCAACACCTCTTAAACAACGTTCCCATTAACGCTTACAAGATTAACTTGTTGACTTTTCATTCTAGGATGAGAAAAACCAGTTAATGACAACCAACGTTTGGATGAAGCAGGCAAGTAGAGCGGGAGGAACTCATTTAAATAGCATTTCCATATCCGTAAACATGTTTGTGAATTGTGTCACTTCATGGCTTCAAGCGGGCATTCTGGAACAGCGTGGAGCTCACATGACAAGCCGACACAGGCTGCTCCTGCGCGGCGCTTTTTAATCAGGCTGGTGGCATTTCGCTGACAGTTCTCATCTATATGAGCAGATTCGGCCCGATGCCCACACACCTGCCTCCCACAGGCCCACCCCTCCCCCACTCTCCCGCTCCTGTCAGCCTTAAACATGGACTTGGGTGTCCTGCTGAAAATGCATCTTATAAATTATATCAGGCTCTGCCGCAGACACTTCCTGTCAGTGTGATGGATGACATCATGCAAAAGAGGAAATGAAAGGCCGGTGGCCACTGGTGGCGTCTCTCCATCTGACGTTTCATTCCAGCCCGTATCAATCACCATGTCATCAACATGTCTACAACTGAAGATGAAGGTTTATCTTCTTCGTTCATGACTTTTATTTTTGTCAGCGAAACGAGTTTAATCCAAATCAGATAGAAATGCTAATTGCATCTTTAGTTTTTCTATGACAGAAATGAGATCAGCGTTGAGTTTTATCTCCGCTGGTGCCGACTGGCAGCTTTTTCTGTTCTTCAGTCGGAGGAAACATCGTTTTCTTGTTGCATGACATCACCTGATTAACGTCTGGACAAATGCAAAGAGGATGTGGTCTGAACCCGCATATTTTTCCTGCTTTGCAGGAGTGGACTGACATGAAACTCAGATGGAGCCCTGAAGACTTCCTGGGCATCACGACCATCCGTGTCCCGTCGGACAGAATCTGGCTTCCTGATGTTGTGCTTTATGATAAGTAAGGAAACAACTCCATGAGGGGAACTTTGGTGTTCCTAAAGTTTCTGACCGGCTTGACTCGGTTGTGTTTATCAGCTCAGATGGACGTTTTGAGGGGACCGTCACCAAGGCTGTTGTTAAGTACGATGGGACCATATCGTGGACCCCTCCAGCTAACTACAAGTCCGCCTGCACCATAGACGTGACCTTCTTCCCCTTTGACCTTCAGAACTGTTCGATGAAGTTTGGATCTTGGACCTATGATGGCTCCCAGGTGCGCCTTTCTGCCTCCCCCAGCGTCAGCATCAGTCATGTCCTGTTTTCACCATCACACCTTTCTGTTTGAACAGGTGGACATAATCCTGGAGGACTTCCATGTGGACAAGCAGGACTATTTTGACAATGGAGAATGGGAGATTGTGAAGGCCACAGGCAGTCGCGGTATAAGAGCTGATGGAAATGCTCTCTATCCCACCATCACCTACTTCTTTATCATTCGCAGGTTGCCTCTTTTCTACACCCTCTTCCTCATCATCCCCTGCATTGGCTTGTCCTTCCTCACCATCCTTGTCTTCTATTTACCCTCCAACGGTGGTGAAAAGATCTCTCTCTGCACCTCGGTGCTGGTGTCGCTCACTGTTTTCCTCTTGGTCATCGAAGAGATCATCCCTTCCTCTTCCAAGGCTATCCCTCTGATTGGGGAGTACCTGGTCTTCACCATGATCTTTGTCACACTCTCCATAGTCATCACCGTTTTTGCTATCAACATCCACCACCGCTCTTCTTCCACACACAACAACATGGCCCCGTGGGTCAGGAGGATCTTCCTACATCGGCTGCCTAAGCTGCTGTGCATGCGCAGCCATGTGGACCGTTACGCCACAGCTGGAGCAGCTGGACTTGGACCCGTGAAGATGAAGGACCCTGGACCTGAACTCAAACCGCTCCTGTACACTCAACACAACCTCCAAGCAGCTTTGGAGTCCATTCGCTACATAACCATGCATGTGGTGAAGGAAAACCAGGTCAGGGAGGTGAGTTTACCCTCAGTTTTATGTCCAGCCCACATTTAAACCGCATCATTAAAGCTGCTGCAGCAACGTTTGAAAACACAAAACAAATGTGATTAAGAGGAGACAAATACTCAGTACTGAATGGGTCGACAGAGACGTGTTTATATGTGCTTGTGTGTAAATTAGACTTTTTATGGCGTTTTAGGTGTAAATGCTTCTACTCTGTGCAGCACTTTGGTCAGCTGGTTTTAGATGTGCTCTACAAATGCATCTGGATTGGATTGGAAGCTGCTATTTTAGAGAAAATATTGCTTAAAACATTTTTTCATGCCTCTTAAACTGTAAATGGCCTGTTTTTGATATAGCGCATTCTGGAGTCCTGGAACCCCCCCAAAGTGCTTTGCAACACAGTCATTCACACATTCACACCCTCGACTCGACTCTCGACTGGAGCTTTATTTACGCAGCACCTTACAGACACTCACATGCCACCAAAGTGCTTCACAGACAGATAAAAAAACTTCCGATCCACTAAAAGTGAATAAAACAACCGAATTAAAACATTAAAAATGAGACTAAAAAGCAACAGAGTCACTCACACTGATTTAAAAACAGCTCAGAAAAATGGATCTTCGGCTTGGATTTAAAATCTGGTACAGAAGAGCTTGCCGAACCCTAACCCTAACCCCCGACCACCACCAGCAGGCAAGGCGGGTTAAGTGTCTTGCACAAGGACTCAACAGTAGTAACAGACTGAGCGGGATTTGAACGTGCAACCTCTCGATTACGGGGCGAGCACTTAACTCCTGTGCCACCGTTGCCCCTAACAACGTTCTAAGTGTGGAGGTTAGGTGCATTTGTCTAAAAACCTCCGCCAACATCACGTTTCAGACTCAAACCAACCATCGGACCATCCGGCTGTCGTCTCACTGAACCGCCGCAGGGTCCTCCACTCATCACACACACACGCATTCAGCAGCAGAACACCACTGGTGTGAGAGGCTCTCCACTCTATGACATCAGAGGAGAAACAGCCGGCTGCTACCGCTTACCATACCCGTTTATTTATAAAGCACATTTAAAAATAGCCTGCAGCTAACCAAGGTGCTGTAGCTGAGAGCCAAAGCCTCACACACAACAACAAAGACAGCATAGGAGTAAAATATAAAGCTACAAACATACAAGCAAGGCATAAATTACAATAAAAGTTAACTAACCATAAACACGTAAAAGCACAAAGATAAGAGATAAAAGAGAAACAAGTCAAAACTAACGGAGCAGCGTTAGTGAGCTAAAGAGTACAGAAGAGCGTCACAAGCTGCCGCCATCCGAGAAGCACGGACGTCTGAAGACAGTCGTGGGAAAAGCCAGGCTAAAGTTGTGTGTTTGAGCGCAGACTTAAACCTACCGAGGGAAGGTGCCTGACGCTCATGGAGGGGCAGCGTGTGAGACGGCGCGCTCACCCTGAGATTTATAACGAACCTTCGGAACGATCAGCAGCAGCTGATCAGCTGAACGAAGTGGCGTGAGTGGGCGTGTAGAGACGCAGCAGGTCGGCCAGGTGAGAGGGGGAAGGGCAGTTCAAAGCCTTGTAGACAAACAGCAGGATTCTGAATTTAATTCTAACTTTAACCGGGAGCCAGTGGGAGTCTGCAGGAATGGGAGGGATGTGTGTGCGTCTGTCCGGCGAAGCTGGAAAAGCACGACCTGACGGTTGCGTTGACCTGAGAAGTCAGACAGGTCTGAATCTAGTTTCACACCCAAACTAGTGGCACATGATTGGACACTGAGAGCAGGTGGGGTTGGCACAGCTGATATACTACTGGCGTTTGTAGGATTCAAAAGGATGGCCTCCGTCTTGCTGTTGTTTAAACACCGGTAGTAAGAGGATTGCCAGGTTTTGACATCAGAGAGGCAGTCTGTCAAAGCAGAGACTGACTGAGGCTGAGGTTTAAGTAAGTTTGACAATCACTTGAGTAGAAGTGGTAGTTGACCCTGTGACTGGCTAGAATCTTGCCGAGGGGAAGCATGTAGATAGAAAAATGGAGTGGACCCAGGATAAAGCCCTGAGGGACTCCCCACTGGAGGTGGGCATTAGGAGAGGAGCAGTCATCAATGAGGACACTAAAACACCGATCAGTCAGGAACAATTTAAACCAGGCAAGGGCAGTACCGGTCACTCCCCCCCATGACTCGAGCTACGAAGTAGGATGGTGTGATCTGCCAAGTCAAAGGCTGCTGTCAGGTCAAGCAGCAGTAACAAAACATGGGAGCCAGGGTCCTGAGGATGAGGATGCCACTGAGAACCCCGAATGTGGCAGACTTCTGCTTTAGGACAAACTTCCAGAGTCCCAAAAATAAAAACACCGTCTGAAGTCACAGACAACAAAAGATGTTTGGACCTAGAAACCAGCAACTGGTGTTCAGCGCCGTCTCGTTTCCTCTGGTAACGTGGGTTTCTGGTTCCGGTGGATGCAGCAGAACAGTGCAGATACCGGAGGGGAGGGGCGAGTGTTTGCATCTACAAGCTAGCTTGTTCTGTAGATTTAGCCTGAATGCCCTAACAGGTTCCCCGCGTTTCTAACACGATACTTCTTTGCTGCAGGTGGTGCAGGACTGGAAGTTTGTTGCCCAGGTTCTGGATCGAATGTTCTTGTGGGCTTTTCTCCTGGTGTCGATTCTCGGTTCTGCTTTCCTCTTCATCCCGGTCATTTACAAATGGGCCAGCATCATTGTTCCTGCTTATCCTGGAAGTACACTGTAAAAATCAAACATAGCTCATTTATCACAGAGAAGCTCACTGGCTGCTCCTCAAGGCCAGTAGTGCGTGTCAGAAGTCATGCTGAACTTCAGAGGCCTCGTCAGCGGGGAGGACATGCACAACATCCTCAGAAACGGATCCAAAGCCTGGAAATGCAACAAAAGGACGCTGAAGCGGACCGTATGCATGCTAAAACTGTTGTGTTACTGAGAAATATATGCTTGCAAAGAGCAACGCACAAAGCTGCTAACCTCTCAGACGTTAAACACGATCATATCGTCATGACAACGGCCGTGTGAAGCAAACAGAACACTTTTTTGTATGTTTCCCTTTTTTAACGTGCATCATTCTGTGTAAACATTTTCATGTAAAGCTTCTTAAGAAGCACTGATGTCCTACTTGCTGCTGATGTAGGAAACTTCCAGAAATCCCTCCCTGAGCTAAACTCCAGAACTTCCCAGGACCGGGTCCCGTCACGTGCTCCGCTCCATTTCTCTTAAAACGGCCTGAATTATGATATTATAATACGAGGAAGGTGACGTTTTAAAGCCAGACTCGATTTCTGTTCAGCTTTTGTAGAAGAGAAAACCTCTCACCGGCTCGCTCACAGACTTGTGCTCCAGCCCCTAAAATTCGCCTCATTTCCTTTAATTTAAGGACAAACTTCACTTGTTTGTGGAACGGTGGTGAGATGATCCACGGAAGTACACACTGCCTTTGTATGGACTGAACAGATTACGTAATAATCTGATTGAAACGAGCAGCTGGAGCACCTGCAGCGTCTGAGGCCGTGTGTTCCTGCTGCAGCCAAAAAGCACGACTAGCATTAACAGGTCGTTCTCTTGCTTTACGACGAAAACACAAAAGCGCTGTCAGACCTTGTGTGTGAGACGCAGCAGCAGAAAGGCTACGAGACTACATGGAAACAACGTGTTTAATATGGAGCACAGAAAGACATTGGTGTGTTTCCTTCATGGGTCTCGTCCTCATCATCTCCATTATTTAGGTTTTTGTTCAAATGTCCCAAAATACAAATAAATTCCTAGAAACTCACCTAGTTTTATTCTGACCCGCCGGAGAAACTGAACAGGCCCACCAACCATTTTAATAACTACCGTAGCGTGCAGCAGCCTCCAGAATGCCTGATATAACATTTTATTTATCATGTCAGTAAATGAATGTAAACATGAAGATGAAGACTCTTCCAGGACTCCTTGTTCTTCTTGACGCGACCGCCTCAGCTGGATGCTTGCCGTCGTCTCCTCTGACCCCGGCTCTGAGAACATCATCCCTGCACTCTGCTAGCAGACGTGCGCACTCGCACGTGTCCCACGCTCCGGGACTGCAGGACACAAACCGTCTCATTTTTCTCTGCAGGGTTTTTGTGCAAAATTAAGTTTAACGGCCTGTCAGAGCGCCCCAGGGCGGCTGTGGCTACACAGTAGCTTACCATCACTAGCAGTGTGTGAATGTGAGAGTGCATGAACGTGTCTTTGAGTGTCCTAAAAAGCGCTCTATAAGTTCGATATATTAGCATTATTAACCCTCCGGAGGCAGGCAGGTTAAATCCTACCTACCTGCTCACTCCTCACACGTATTTATGAGCATTTTTAATTCAGAAGTTCCCCTGAAGGACTCAGTTGTTCGTCCTTTCATCAAAACGCAGTTTGAGCCTGAGAGGGTTCAGCTTCAAACCTGCATTTTTCTATTGTGTGTGTGTGTCTGACTGCAATGTGTTTTTATTTAGGACAACACGCCTGCAACTCCGCCGTTTTTTTGTTCCGTTCACCGTTTCCAACGGCTGTCGCTCTTGAGCTAAAACAGCCTTTTTTCCAAGAGTCAAACTTCAAAACAAACTACAGAAATGATCAGTTCTGAGCTTCAGGTGATGAAGATGAAGACGGAAGGGTTTGTTTTCTGACCATCACCGTAGACCATCACACGGTGCATCAGAGGCTCTGAAGCACCGACTGGTTTTAGGAGCAAAATGCTTTAGAGAGGGAAGTAAGGAAAGCTGCTTGAATCCTCACCTTTGACCTCTAGAAACACTTGATAGTTCCTGTGAGGATGCTGCTCCCGGATGCACATGGAAGGCAGCAGCAGGCAGCTGTAAGGACCTGAATCCTCCCGACGGCCCCCTTGATAGTGAAGGAAGTCGCCGACAGAGAAACATCAAAGGCTTTCACTTGGAGGACCGTTTCCTCCATCATCAGCTACGACTGGATGAGCTGGCGTTTGTCCAGCGTGTGGAGTGCGTACGGGACCGAGCCCTCGAACTCAACCTCGGCTCCCTCGTTAACCGTGGAAGGTCCAACCACGGAAAACTAGCTGCAGAGCCGTCAGAGCAGAGAGGAGTCACGATAAAAGGCCTGAAGGTGAACCGCTACCTTCCTCCTGAACAGACAGAGCTCATTCCTAGAAGTCTGAATATTATCCTCATTATGGAAGTTCCTCCACAACGCCGTCATATTTGGACTAGCATGGGTGTTTGCATGAATTCTCGGGCAGATGTGGGTCTGTTAGCGGATCAAACATGGATTCAGTAGTAAAGCCAATCTGGCGGGGGCCGGATTCAAACTGCTTCATTCACAAAGCCAGTCATCTGTTTATTCACAGAGCAGAAATAGAAGAAACAGTTAAAAACGGCGCGTTATGGAAGCACTCACCCGTCACCTGGATCTCATCAGCGCTGGATCCTCTCTCAGCTACGGCGACGGATTGTGAGCATGAGAGGAGAAGCTGTAGATCCTGCTGTAATTCAGACTAACTCTGGAAGGTCTGAATGTAAAATCATCCTGCCGCTCTCCTAATAACAGCTCCGTCTCTCAGTAAATAATAATAAAAGTTGCCAGACTTGTTTGTTCCAAATGTGCTGCAGGCTAAGTCCAGGTCGTCATTTCCACGTACGGTTGTCTTCCTCCAGAAGATCTTTGCAGGAGAAAGATCTGCAGCAGCAACACGTTACTGATGAAACCTTTGTTCTCAACCATGACCTGATTCACCAAAACACCTTAGAAAACAAACCGATCCACTCAAATCATCTATAAGCAGCGCTCCATGTTTATAACACATGTGAACAATAAAGCAGACAAGCAGAGGTCTGTTTACTCACAGAGGAGAACAGCTGATGGGTTCATCTCCACTTGCACACGAACCCTCTCACAGCCTCTGTTAGCTCCTTGGAGGGGGTGGCGGTCTTTTCTACCCCTACAGACGCCATCATCACCACTTCCTGAGTCTTCTGTGATGCTTATTAACGCGTCTGTAAGAACGCCAAACCTGCCTCCCACTCATCTGACACCATGGTAGATCTCCTCTAAACGTTCTGACGGGGACATTCTTACTCATTAAACACCCGACAGAAACAAAGGAGAGCTGCAGCATTAGGCCAGCTGAGAATGGAGGTTCAGGTGTCTGACCAACGGCTCCTTATTTCCTGTTTGGAGGATTTTCATGTTTTCCATGTTGGTGGCACCCCTCGGACCTCTCTGGTGTCGCTGGGGAAGAGATCCAGATTTTCCTCTTGACCTTCATAAGATGAGTGGGAGTAAAGAAAAGTGGATGGATGGATGGATGGATGGATGGATGGGTAAATGGATGGATGGGTAAATGGATGGATGGATGGATAAATGATGGATGGATGGGTAAATGGATAAATGATGGATGGATGGATGGATAAATGATGGATGGATGGATAAAGGATGGATGGATGGATGGATGGATGGGTAAATGGATGGATGGATGGGTAAATGGATAAATGATGGATGGATGGGTAAATGGATAAATGATGGATGGATGGATAAATGATGGATGGATGGATAAAGTATGGATGGATAAATGATGGATGGATGGATGGATGGATGGATGGGTAAATGGATGGATGGATGGATAAATGATGGATGGATGGGTAAATGGATAAATGATGGATGGATGGATGGATAAATGATGGATGGATGGATAAATGATGGATGGATGGATAAATGAAGGATAAATGATGGATGGATGGATAAATGATGGATGGATGGATGGATAAATGATGGATGGATGGATGGATGGATAAATGATGGATGGATAAAGTATGGATGGATGGGTAAATGGATAAATGATGGATGGATGGATGGATGGATAAGTAATGGATGGATGGATGAATGGGTAAATGGGTGGATAGATGGGTAAATGGATGGATGGATGGATAAATGATGGATGGATGGGTAAATGGATAAATGATGAATGGATGGATGGATAAATGATGGATGGATGGATGGATGGGTAAATGGGTGGATAGATGGGTAAATGGATGGATAAATGATGGATGGATGGGTAAATGGATAAATGATGAATGGATGGATGGATTGATGGATGGATGGATGGATGGATGGATGGGTAAATGGATAAATGATGGATGGATGGATGGATGGATGGATGGGTAAATGGATAAATGATGGATGGATGGATGGATGGGTAAATGGATAAATGATGAATGGATGGATGGATAAATGATGGATGGATGGATGGGTAAATGGATAAATGATGGATGGATGGATGGATGGGTAAATGGATAAATGATGGATGGATGGATGGATGGGTAAATGGATAAATGATGGATGGATGGGTAAATGGATAAATGATGGATGGATGGATAAATGATGGATGGATGGATGGATGGATGGATGGGTAAATGGATAAATGATGGATGGATGTATTGGCTTAATGAACTGTGAATTGGAATGTTTATTATGTGAAGTGCCTTGAGACGACTCTTGTCGTGATTTGGCGCTTTATAAATAAACTTGAATTGAATTGAATTGAATTGGATGGATGGATGGATAAATGATGGATGGATGGATGGATGGATAAATGATGGATGGATGGATGAATGGGTAACGGTGGCACAGGAGTTAAGTGCTCGCCCCGTAATCGGAAGGTTGCTGGTTCGAGTCCCGCTCAGTCTGTCGCTGTCGTTGTGTCCTTGGGCAAGACACTTAACCCATGTTGCCTGCTGGTGGTGGTCGGAGGGACTGGTGGCGCCAGTGCTCGGCAGCCTCGCCTCTGTCAGTGCGCCCCAGGGCAGCTGTGGCTACATAGTAGCTCATCCCCACCAGAGTATGAATGTGTGTGTGAATGGGTGAATGACTGATTGTGTTGTAAAGCGCCTTGGGGGGTTCTAGGACTCTAGAAGGCGCTATATCAAATACAGGCCATTTACCATTTTAAATGGATGAATGAATGGGTAAATGGATGGATGATGGATGAACATTTACCATAATTCACCTTTTCTCAAGCATGAATTCATTAAACTAATGAGTGAAAAATATTTTTTAAATGACACAAAGTCACCTGTAATGACTGCCGACCACCACATGAGGTCCCCCTTTCAAAACAATCTCCACCTTCACTCTGGTCCTCCTGAACAACTGAACACGATCTGAGCTCGTGCTGTTGCTGGGAGGTGCAGATTTTATATTTGTGCACAGCTTTGTCACATTTACTTTGATTTGTTGAAATTCTTGAAAGAAAAGTTTGTAAAAGTCACTGATTTAAAGTTTAATGCTGGGAATGTTGGATTACAACAGGAATACTGAGATTTTCTTTTAAATTGTTGGTTGAAGCTGCAGGATTTTTGTTGTGTTCGTGTTTAATCCTGATCTGATTCCTGATCTGATTCCTGATCTGATTCCTGATCTGATTCCTGATCTGATTCCTGATCTGATTCCTGATCTGGTCTGAGCATCACGGAGTCGACCTTCAAGGTAAACAGCACTGAACAGAGACTAAGAGGAGCTGCTTTATACTACTGTTCTTTGGAAGCAGCCGTTCCACGTGAATAAATAAATAATAAAACATTTCTGGTATTTTTCTTGTTAACTTAGTAAACAAACACTAGTGATATTTGAAGCGCTCTAACTTTGCAGCGGTTACAAAGTGAAGAGAAACCTGCAGCATCATGCAGCATTTCAGTTTCAGTATTTAAGCAACGCTACAACCCACCACCGTACTCACTGTGTCTGTATTTATTCACCCCGACAGGAACTACAGATGCTGTCTGGTACAACTCAGAGAAAGTGAACATCATCATCATCCTCACATCAGACATGAACACTTGAGACTGACGAGTTTCACACCGTCGAATGTAAACCAGCTTCACGTGTCTGGTGGCTGGGTGTGTGTAACACCAGTAAAACCTGCCACGGCCACTCGGCTTTTATATTCACTCGTTCATTAATCATTACTGATGGAAACGTGAAATCTCATTAGATTCTCAGTGAGATTGGAATGCGGCTCAAAGCCCACGTTCCATTTCTGTTTCCCAGCCAACATGTGTTCCATTTTCAGCAAACTGAATGAACCAGTCAGTGTTTCTACCGTCTCTGGGCTCTGGCAGAGGCTCTTATGCAACAGTTGGGTGCCTTTCTGCAGAATTAGTTTTATAAAATCGAATCAAATCTCCTCGCCGAGTAATAACGGCTGCAGGAAGAGGCCAGCTGTTCCCAGGATACAGACCAGGACGAAAACCCACAGGAAGATCCTGTCGATTACCATGGCAACGTACTTCCAGTCATCCTGAACCTGTGAGGGGATCAGAGTGGACACATTTTAAATTGTTTATCATCCTCAACTAATCCCGAGGGGAACCTGAACCTTTCCTTACCTCCTTTGCTTCGTTCTGTAGCTTCATGTTCTCTGCGATGTATTTCACACTTTCAATGGCCTCCCTGACCTCTGGGGACAGAGGCAGAAGGGACACGATCCCTCCATCCAGAGACTCCGAGCTGGAGCACTGACTCTCCCTTCTGACGCCTCCAGTACCTCCTCCAGTCAGGGCTCCCAGGCTGCCCAGTCCACCTCCACCTCCTCCGGAGTCTGAAGGCAGTTTTCCTGATCTCTTCTGCCAGCAGCAGTTGCAGCGACCTTCACAGCACAAGAACCCAGATCCGGCACATTTGGTGGAGTCTCCGCTCAAGTTGTTGAGGTTTGAGAGCTCAGTGTTGTTAAGAAGTCGCTGTCGGTTTGTGATACTCGACACCACGCTGGAGGCCAGAGCCTGAGGCTTGTGCTGCTTTTGCAGACTACCTGAAGAGTGGACAGCACAGGACCTTGAATGATTCGTCTGGACACTGCTGGCCACCGTCACCTTCTCGGGGTCCCTGTCTGGCCTGGTCATGAACATGACTCGAGGGAGAAGTCCTAGAAACACACGACGCACCCAGCAGGGCATGGTGTGTGTCTTCGGTGTGCGATAGTGGACATTCAGCACAAACACCGTAATGACGATGGAGAGGGTGACAAAGATCATGGTGAAGAGGAGGTACTCGCCGATCAGGGGTATGACCAGCGAGGTGGAAGGGATGGTCTCTGTTATGACCAGCAGGAAGACGGTCAAAGACAGCAAGACAGAGATGCACAATGTGACTTTCTCTCCACAGTCAGACGGCAGGTAGAAGACGAGCACCGTGAGGAAGGAGATGAGGAGGCAGGGGATGATCATGTTGATGGTGTAGAAAAGAGGCAGGCGGCGGATGTACAAGGAGTACGTGATGTCCGTGTAGATCTCCTCACAGCAGTTGTATTTGATGTCATGTTTGTATCCAGGCGCGTCGATGATCATCCACTCGCCGCTTTCCCAGAAGTCTTTCAGGTTGATGGTTGAACCGATCAGCACAAGGTCGATCTTGGCCTTGTCGTAGGTCCACGAGCCAAACTTCATGGTGCAGTTTTGGTAGTCGAAAGGGAAATATGTGACATCAATCTTGCAGGAGCTCTTAAATATGGCAGGAGGGATCCAAGTGACATCACCGTTGTAGCGGAGCAGAGCTTTGGTTTTGTCATCAACTTGGAAATCTCCAACTGCGCTGTACAGAAAGACGGATAAACGGCCAGATTTAAAGATCAGAACCAGCGAGAAGGCGAAGAGACAAACAGCAGCTCAGTTTCCTCTTCTCCACCCTACTGGCTGAGAGTGGAGCTACAACCCTGCATCAGCCTGCTGTAGCTAGTGCTAACAACAAGCTAACACGAGCCAACTGATACCAAATAAGCCATTAAGTAAAAACACCCACACTGTTGGACAAAAAATATTATTACTTATAAATGGAGTAGCAACAAAGCCAGGTCACCATCAGCCCGTGGTTTCATAGCCTCCTTCAGCTTCCTCAAACTAGCGTAGGCCAGTTTTCACCCAGGCTTAGCTCTTTCCTTTTCCTCCAAAGACATTACTCTCGGACCTTTACTTCCTACTCTCGGACCTTTACTTCCTACTCTCAGACCTTTACTTCCTACTCTCTTACCTTTACTTCCTACTCTCTTACCTTTACTTCCTACTCTCGGACCTTTACTTCCTACTCTCGGACCTTTACTTCCTACTCTCGGACCTTTACTTCCTACTCTCGGACCTTTACTTCCTACTCTCGGACCTTTACTTCCTACTCTCGGACCTTTACTTCCTACTCTCGGACCTTTACTTCCTACTCTCGGACCTTTACTTCCTACTCTCGGACCTTTACTTCCTACTCTCGGACCTTTACTTCCTACTCTCGGACCTTTACTTCCTACTCTCGGACCTTTACTTCCTACTCTCTGACCTTTACTTCCTACTCTCTGACCTTTACTTCCTACTCTCGGACCTTTACTTCCTACTCTCGGACCTTTACTTCCTACTCTCGGACCTTTACTTCCTACTCTCGGGCCTTTACTTCCTACTCTCGGACCTTTACTTCCTACTCTCGGACCTTTACTTCCTACTCTCGGACCTTTACTTCCTACTCTTGGACCTTTACTTCCTACTCTCGGACCTTTACTTCCTACTCTCGGACCTTTACTTCCTACTCTCGGGCCTTTACCTCCAGGCTCCACCATGATGCCAAAAATAAAGCAAACTTCTTTTTTTCCTTCTTATGTTTTTTATTAATAACTGAAAAGCTAACAGCTAGCCTTTTTTTTCATTCTTTATTTCATTCAAAGGAAAAAATATGTAAAAAAAACAAGATCAGAATAAAATCAACAAACATAAAATTTTATTCAAAATCCATGAATGAATAGGAGCAGACAGAAGAATGCATCTTATGCAGGGGCGTAGCACCAAATTCTGGGCCCTGTACACTCTCAATGTCATTGGGCCCCATTCAGCACATGAACATAAAAGTGGTTTTATTTGTAAAAATAAATAAATAAATAAATAAATAAATAAGGCATAGGTAAGGTTTTATAGAACAGTCAGTTATATATGGATTTTTGCCAGCTATTTCTCATACTTAAAGGGATATTCCACCCATAAGTACAATTGTGCCTCGTGCTCTGGGAAATTCCTGTACAATTTTTGCCACTTGATGTCAGACAACCGGAGACCCTCTTTGCTGTTCAGCGGACTTTTAGATGGCCTTGTTTGCTCATGAGAGAATAGAACACATGGGATGCAGAACAGAGCCTTTACACTCTCACTATATATCAACCAGTCCCTCCTGATCTTTTCCCGCCCATTGGTTGACTTAACATATTGGTAGTTGGGGAATTCTTTGCCTTCCTTGTCTTTGGGTGCCACTTTGGTCGAGTCTACAATTTCTCTAGACAGTCTGAAAACTAGACTCTCTCTCTCCTGAGCAGCTAGCTTTTCTGGCCACAGTCCTGGGTCTTCGGACAGTTCCTCAGCATTTCCCTGTCTCGGTCCTTCCTGTTCTCTCTCCCCTACCTCCTCACTTTTACACACATCTACAAATATGAAACACATGTGCAGTATGTTAGCCTAAATCTGTCTATAGTTTTACTTGTAAATATACATCATACCTAGAAATAGTACTGGCAGCTACTTTCAGTTCAAACTACTGTTACACAAGATTGCTGTAAATAACCTGAGGTCGCCTCAATGAGCAGCTCACCTGGTCTCACTTCCTCACAACCGTCCTTGCCTTCAGCATCTGATGTTGAATTCTCTACATCTACAACAATAAATAACTTATTCTTATGAAGCTCCGCCCCTTTTTATGAAATGGAAACATCATCAGCTTAATTATTAACAAAGAATTTTCAATAAAACACAACAGTTGTATTTAGAATATAAATAAAACACAGGACCACATAAAAATAAAGAGACAGGTTGATTAACATTTAACAATCAAGTGTCTTGTTAAAAAATAATATATCTCAATTCCCCTCATAATTTAATGCTGTAGTTATGATAAGCCTTTAATTTAATATGTATATTAAATGTACTAAGTGACTTGGCGGCTTTAGCTTCATTGCTTAAACTGTTCCAGAGTTAAACTCTTTGGACACTAATACTGAACTCCTTGACTTTAGTTCTAAATTTTGTTTTTTTGAATACATCAGTTCCTTTTAGATTATAACTGCTTTCCCTTCTTACGAACAATGACTGTACATTTGTGGGCAAGATAGTTTTGCAAGCTTTATACATTATTTGCAATATTTTAAACTCCACCAAATCATAAAATTTAAGCACTTTATATTGCATAAATAATGGATTAGAGTGATCATTGTAACAATTTCTGTTGATAAGTCTTAATGTTCTTTTTTGTAAAACAAACAGTGGTAAAGTTTAAGTTTTATATGTGGAACCCCAGATCTCCACACAATACATCAAATATGGTGTAATCAGTGTGTTTTAAAGAGTTAACCTTCCAGAATTATTCAATAAACTGTGTAATACTGCAGTGGCCTTAGCTATTTTACCCTTTATGTGTATAGTATGAGGTTTCCATGAAAGATTTTCATCAAACATAACACCCAAGAATTAGATTTCTTTACCCTCCTAAGTTCCATACCATCCATTTTCAACGATACATTTGTACCGCCGTCATTAAACAACAAAAATTTAGTTTTTTTAAGATTAAGTGACAACCTGTTTGTGTCAAACTAGTTTGTGATTATCATTAACTCATCATTTATCACTTCGATACCTTCAGCAATGTTAGACCCTGAATGAAACAAAGTTGTATCGTCAGCAAATTATAAGCTTCCAAGTTGAGGAAATGCATTCATTAACGTAAAATAAAAACAGTTTTGGGCCTAGAACTGATCCCTGAGGAACACCATGACTAATTTCCCTCAGTTGTGATTTAATATTATCTATCTGGACGAATTGTTTTCTACTTTCTAAGTAACTTCTCACCCATTGACGTGCCACACCTCTTATTCCATAGCGATGTAATTTTTGTAATAATCTAGCATGATCTATAACATCAAAAGCTTTTTTTAAGTCAGTAAAAACACTTAGAAAATATTGTTTATTGTCTATTGCTGTTGATATTCGATTAACCAATTCCATTATAGCCGTAGCAGTTGAGTGATTGGCCCTGAAGCCATACTGTCCATTATTTAGAACACTATTTTCCTCAATAAACGTATCCCTCCGTGTAACAAAGATGTTTAACATTATTTTAGAATACTGTGGAAGCAGTGATATTGGTCGATAATTAGTAAAATTAAATAATGGGACCACTTTAGCAATTTTCATTGCATCAGGGAATACTCCCAATGAACGTGACAAATTACAAATATATGTAAACGGTTCAACAACAGTTTCAATTGTACTTTTTACCATGATCATATCCAAATCCTCATTATCAGTAGATCTTTTGTTTCCACAGTTTTTTACCACATCAGTCACCTATTCTTCTCAACCTTAGTAAGGTGAATGCTATTAGGATTTTCTGTAATAGTATTCAGTTTGCCGTCCAAATTTGGTTTTGTACTTATCAGACTAGTCCCTACACTTACAAAGAAGTCATTAAACTCATTAGTGACTTCTTTGACATCATAAATATCAGTATGTCCCATCACAAAGTTGCTAGGCAAATCAGCTTTATTTAGCCTGGTCACACTGTTCATTATTCCCCATGTAGCTCGTGAATTGTTTGAATTTCTGCTTAAAAATTCACTATAATAATTTTTTTGTGTTTCCTTATGATTGTGGTTAATTTATTTTTACATTTTTCATACCTTTCCTCAGCCTCCTTCGTCTGTAATTTAAGAAAATGTCTGTACAAAGTGTTTTTCTTTACACAAGCATTCTTTATGCCATTAGTCAACCAAGGATGAAGTTCACGACCAACCTTCATTTGTTGTAATTTACAATGTTTATTATATAGTTCCATTAGGATTTTCATGAATTTATCATATGTAACATTCACATCCTTAACATGAACTTCATTCCAGTTTTGTACCCTGAGGTCATGAATAAGTGCATCTGCAGCTTTAACAGATTGATCTCTTTTGTATTTGAATTTATTTTTGTGCTTTAGCCAATGATTATATTTGAATACAACAAATACTGGTATGTAAATGGTTACTGATATCAGTCATCAATATACCACTTTAAATGACTTCATGCTTTTTATTTGTAAAAATATTATCAATAATAGTAGCACCCTGTGTATTATTCCTAGTTGGTTTGGTGACTAAGGGTAAAAGACCCATGCTAAACATTGAGTCAACAAAGTCAGATGTTTTAGTCCCCCAAGATTATCTAAATTTATATTAAATTCACCACATAAATAAGGTCTTAATCTTGACTGGACCAACCAACTTGCTGATTTTGTCAGTAAATGCTACCACATCAGAACCAGGTGTTCTGTATACACAACAAATTACTATATTTTTTCTTTTACATTACTAACTTCTATAGTTACTACTTCCATAACATTTTTTTCATAGTCATTTTTTCAACTAATTTTGATTTCATGTCTATAGATAAGTACAAGTCTACACCTCCATCTTTTTTGTTTTTCCTGTTTAAGTAGTACAGCTCGTATCCCTCGATATGAACATCATCCATGAGGTCATCATTAAGCCATGTCTCAGTAATTGCAATGACCTTGAATTTATATTTAAATTTGCTTAAGTAATATTTTATGGTTGGTAGCTTATAGAATAAACTTCAACTATTTAAGTGTATTAATGAAAACATGTTATTATAACTTGGTTCACAATTTAACTGGTCTTGACTACAGTAGTCACAACATGTTTCATTCGAATTAAACCAACTATCATATATTTTATATTCCATTACATAGTCAAGGTATGGTTGTCACTATTCTTGGTAAGTGGTTGCGTCATCCTTTGTCCATTTCGTTGTATATCGTTTGAGGTCATCAATGCTTCTCACATGCACGCTGTTTGTTCCTTCACCTTCACGCTCTACGATTCCACACCCATGTTTCTGCAATCTGGTTCTGCTCTTTCAGTCCTCTAGCTTCCCTAGCTATGTCAGCATTTTCTTTGTTAAATGTTCATTTATATAAACATTTGTTCCTCTTAGATTTTGATTATTGTAATGCACTCTACATTGGGGTCAGTGCATCATGTATTAGTCACCTACAGAGGGTGCAAAATGCCGCAACTCGTCTTTTAACTGGCACTCGAAAGTTTGAGCACATTTCCCCTGTTTTAGCTTCACTTCACTGGCTGCCCATTTCTTTTAGGATTCCTTTTAAAATCCTCTTGTTTGCTTTTAAAGGTCTTCATGGCCTCACCCCCTCTTATCTCTCTGACCTGATACAGCCTTACACTCCCTCCCGCTCTCTCAGGTTCTGATCAGCTGCTCCTGATTGTACCCAGGACTGAGCGTAAACTTAGAGGAGATTGCGCTTTTGCTGTTGCAGCTCCAAAACTGTGGAACGAACTTCCTTTAGAGATAAGACAGGCCAGTTCCTTATCTGTTTTTAAGGCACTCCTGAAAACCCACCTCTTTACCCTGGCTTTTGATGCCTTGTGAGATGTTGGTTTCTATTTTTTTATTTTATTTTAGCTGTTTTAGGTGATTCATTGCAGTTTCATCAAGTTTTATCAAGTTTTTATTTTTTAATATAGGGCTATTTTTAATTTTATGTATCATGTGTTTTATTTATTTATTTATCTTTGCTGTTTTCTGTTTAGTCAATTGTTTTAATGTATTTTCTGTACAGCACTTTGTTCCTGTGCTGGGTCTTTTAAAGTGCTTTATAAATAAAACTGGATTGGATTGGATTTTAGCTTCCTAGCTTGTTTGAGAAGCCTGTTCTTGTGTTTCCTACTCGTAAACCTAACTATAATAGTAGACGGTTTGTTTTTACCACGTTTAAGTGGGATGGTATGACAGTCAGAGATGTAATCTCGATTGATCTCGACCTTTATGTTGCAGACAGTCAGTAACTTGCTGTTCCAGGGGTAGAACTTCATCGCGTCCTCTGCTTTCGCTCCACCTGAATCCACTGCTCTTGCATAGGAGAAGTGTTGTGTCTCCAAACCAGACATCACAAGGTCATCCTTCCTGGAATACTGTTCTAGATCATCCACTCTTTGCTCAAGCATCTCAATAAGTTTATCCTTCTCTACAATGAGTTCTTTGACCTCCTTCAGCAAACTACTCCAGGAAGACGACTCTTCAGATATTAGATTCATTGATGTTTTAATCTCCTCTATGTCTTCCTCCAATTTGTCCATTTTTAGGAGGCATTTTGCAACAAATCTACCCCTCTTCTCCAGAGGCTGGGCGTGGCAGTTTGTCCTGGTGGTTAACCTGGTAGCTTGGGGCTTGCGGTTATTAGCATAGCACCTGTGTAGATTCCAATGTTTCATCTAATGACTGGTGTTTGAGGATGGATCTCGAACCGGCCGGACGGCCAGTGCTTAGGACTGGTGCATGGGCCGCGTGTGGCAGCTGGTGCTGATGGTTGTTGTTGTGAGTTGGTTCCTGGCCAGGGCCTGGTGTCTGGTGTTGAATGCTGGAACCTGCTTGGGCCGGGTGTGGCAGCTGGGCCTGGAGCCAGGATCAAGTGTTGAGGCTGGAGCCCAGACCCTGCCCGGTGGAACAGTCTAGAAGCTGGATCCTGGACCAGGCATGATGGCTGATGTTGATTCTGGGGCCTGGACTCCGGGCCTGGTGGCTGGTACAGCTACTTTTTCAGCTAGGTACCGGTAATTGAGCCTGCTCAGCTCTGTTGAATGTCGGTTAAGTCCTTTGGTAAAATGCTGAAAAATCTCTCTGTCTCCGCCTTTTAGACAAGAGGAAGAAGCTCAGTGAGCCAATGTGCTGCTCAATGCGCTTTTCAACCCTGTAAGAACAAACTGTTAAATTAGCTACCGGCAGACAAAATAGCTAACAGCCGTTAAGCAGTTAAAGAGCACCCCCTAGGTCACCAACCAGCTGAGTAAAACTGTTGAGCTGTTTCCGGTCAACAGAGAGCTGTCCCACGTTCCTACCAGCGCCATCACTGAACCCTACTTTCGAAGGAATTGGTTAAAGTGTTAAAACTGCTCAGTGTCGCTTTAAAGGAGACTAATAATGACCTGAAGTATAATAGTGGTGAATAAAAAACACGTTTATGACATTAAATCCCTCTCACGAAGCAAATTGAGAAGTTTTATTTAGCATCAGCACCTTCCAGAACGAGCTGTTTCAGGGCTCTGTCCCTTTAAGAAAACCATCTGTAACTGGCCCCAGGCACACATCCACCGATTGGCTGCTTTGAGGTGAGGAGCTCCAATATCTGTGAAGGCTTTAGCGTAGAGCAACTGCTCCTCTATTGTCAACAGCTGAGGCAGGACTTTCTGCAAAAATCCCCATTTGTGACATCACAAACAAGGATTTTTTTGAAATGGCTCATTTTAAGCAAACGATTCTTGAAACCAAACACTGACAGAAACAGAATGGATGGATCTTTTACGTTTGGAGCGTTTATGGAGGCAGTAGAGACCCACATGGCAGACATGAGTTTCACCCAATATGTCCTTTTCAAACAACCTAAAGCATGAGTAACCAGAGACGGGCGTCGTTATGCTTCATTTTTAAACTCACTTATTATACAGGACGATGTCCGGCTTCCATATCCGGTTGGATGGCACTCGAATAAACTCCACGCCTCCAAAATCTTTTGGATCCCATTTGAGTTTGTAGTCGTTCCAGATCTGGGAAAAATGTATCCGGATTATTAATTATGCAAAAAACAGTCAGAGAATTCACAAAGTCACAAACATCTAAATATGGCAATAACTGGAGAAATTAGGAATAAATGATTAATTATTAATGGAATCTTTCTATTTTGAATATGTAAGACTGAAAATAACTCAAGCATTTTTGTGGGTGTAAAACTGGTTCTGTTGCATCAGAACTGCATTAAATTCAGTACGACTCTCCGGCCTTTGAGCTGAGGTTAGGGGTACAGCAAAAAATCATCAGCCAGGGAAATCAGAGGCTCACTCCGCTTTATTGAACCGGTCTGCTGGCATGAAAAATAATCTCGCTCCGTCTCTTGGAGAGTCGGGATTACAAATGGCTGCATCATTTTGGGGGCCATAATCTGCCTGTTTGCTCTCAACATCAGGACAAGCATTAGGATAAGAGAACCAGCCAGATGTTCATAAATGTGTTTGTAAGGCTGCGTTGCCTCATGATGACTTGTGTGTGCGTGCGTGCGTGCGTGCGTGCGTGCGTGCGTGCGTGTGTGTGTGTGTGTTTTATGGACTTTGGCCCTAGTGTTTGACCCTCCTGAGACTCATAAAGCTGCTATAATAAAGCAACGCTGCAGAGGAATAAGAAGTTAATTTAATTACAAACGTGTGTGTGTGTGTGTGTCGGTAAAACCGGAATAGGCAGCAGGGGAAATGTGCCTCGCACGTTCCCCAGAGACTCTGAAACAGGTAGACGATATTAAAGCAAAAGAAACTGTTTCAGCTCTTTTAGCAGCAAACGTACGTTACAGCGGACCTTTAGAGGAAAAGCCGCTCTGGAGAGGTGGTAAAACGCGACCTGGTGACCTGCCCCGCCTCAAACCCGCCGCACCGAGCATCACTGAGGCGGTGTGGAGATGAAAGCATCTGCTTAGCTTTTAGTTTAATATTGCTCATGATTATTAAGATTAGGTCAAGTTTGGGTCTTTAGATTTAATTTTAAAAAGCTTCATTTTCTTGAGTTTTAATCTAAACGGCTTGGAAACTCTCCAGAACAGAGGCTGAAATCTAAATTAGGATTTCTTTTTTCCCTTTTTTAATCAAATCATGTGGATCGATGCGTTTGAAAACCTTCCTCCTGTGAATAATTCATGCTGTCAGTTTGGAAGAACCATGTGAGACAGCACGCCAGGCTGATCCCACTCAGGGTTTATCGTCACCGATCAGGACTCACGTGTCTCAGCCACAGATTGGTCTCCATGATCTGATTGACTTCGTCCTGGGAGCAGCAGATTCGTTTCCAAAGACATGAAAACAGACAACAATCAGATAAATGTTAGCATTTCAACCGCAAACTGAAGGGAAACTGTCACATGTGATCAAGTATCTGAGGTTTAGTTTGCTCTAGTGCCTCCCTGACACGAGGATCCAGACGTGCACCTGAGTCCCTCCAAGTCTGAGGCAGAACCTGCGTGACAGCTGGAGCTGCGAGGTCAGAGCGACTTCTTTCCCACGGATCGGTGGTGAATCTGGAGCAGGGGCGGAGGGGCGGGAGGAAACTTTGGGACGTTTGTGTGACTCAGACCGTGAAGGAACAAATCTCATGACATTACCCATCCGTGTGCCCAGGTCCAGAACAGATCACTGGTTCTGTGGTGAGCACATGTAAACAAAGGCTTGTTTGATTCAAATCATCCAGCTGCCAATTACGGAGCTCCTGCTTTATCTTCTAACAGGTGGGACAGATGGGATGCCAACCAAAAATCTGCGTCAGTGGCTTAAAGCATCATCCCTCTCACACATGAAGCTATTCAGCAGTTTTCTTCTTGGTAGTTTCAGAACCTTCCTGAATGAGCCTTGTCAGGGCTGTGTCACCCACCCCCTGCTCAGGCTGCTATAAGCTGAAAAGCTCCGGTTTGGTGCAGAGCTGCTGCTCGTCCAGCAGCAGGTCTTTCTTACCTGTGAGAGGTAGCATCAGTTCTACGGTTCCCATTTGTGACATCACAAACGGGGACTTTTTGAAGTGGGTTGTTTTCCTAAAATTAAAAACTGACAGAAAGTGGATGGACACATTTCTTTCACATCTGGAGTGTTTATGGAGGCAGGAGACACACACGCAGCAGCACGGTTTGCATAACTTGCCTCTTTTAACTCTAATTTTGTGGCTTCTTGCAGAAATATGAGGGGAATGTTTGCTTAGCTCATCATCAGCTGTGTGGGTTATCGATGCTGAGCCCACAGAGCAGCAGGCTGTAATCATCTCGGTCAAACCCGGATGCATGTATGTGAGGAGCACCAGGTGGTGTTGGTCATCCATCAGCAGCTGCAGCTCAGTGGTCCGCTACGCTAAATGGGTTTCATAAAACCTCGATTCACCACTGATGTTCCCGAGTTACGACGAATGCAGACAAATAAACCTCTCTTCTTTTGCTCTGAACCAGGCAGGTCATTAATAATTAATTAATTAATTAATCATCATAGCTCTAAAACAGAAACATCAGACTGAGATGAGTTCAGTCAGGTCTGGTTGTTGTCGTATTTTATGGCAGAAAACTTAAATCATATTTTCTCTTCAGACAAACATGAAGTTTGACATTTCCCCTTTGGTGCAAACAAATCGTGTTTTGCACGCTAAAATCCTAAATTAAGTCTCAAGTTTTTATAAAGCTTTTTGTGTCAAACCAAAATCAAATTAAAGGGCCTGCAGACAAGAATCCCAACGTTAAAATGATGTCTGCTGGTCAGAAGAACACCAGAAAACGATGGAGACGTTCCTGGGAGCAGCTGGCATTTCCCATCTCGTCCTTCTCCATCCTCAGGATCCTCGGGTTCACGAGGCAGCGGCGCGTCTCATTTGAATGCTGTCACCATGCAAAGGTCATGAAAGTTGACATGAAGGCATGAAATAAGTGGATTATTTTCATTTTCTTTGCGTTGACTCCAGCTCCCGTGATTTAGACCTGCAGGGCCCATAAATGACGGAGCAATCAGCACAGAGAGAGAAAAGCTTTTTGTTGCTCACCACTTTGACCAGCTGGGACATGGACACCTCAAACTGCACGACGACTGGGTCAGACACGTTTTCCACCGGCCGTATGTACTGATTGTAGTTGGAGAAAATCACAGAGAAGAGCCGGTGTTCTGCTTCTGAACATGAGCCTCCTGGATCAGAGCAGATTATCGTTATTTTAACAATAATCCTGATGATTATTTGTCATTTTCTATCAATTTACCCTCACTTTATTTCATCTCAGTGCAGATCGACTGTTAGCACAACAATAAGCACAACCAGGGTCTCCCACTGATGTTAGAGTACAGGCTTATAAAACTCACACAGCAGCTGCTTTCGTAGGAGAAAGCTGAGGGAGACATGCCTACAGACTCTTCTGTGTCCAGAGTAGCAACAAGTCACCATTAGAACATCTCTTACCTGACCAAAGATGCAGAAAGACCAGACAGCTGAGAAACGTGAAGCACATTCTGGCGCTCATCCTGCTGACGGATGCCAGATGGATCCAGGGTCAGCCGCAGCAACGCTCCACGAGGCAGACACACGGAGAACGTGTGGACAGTGGGAAGGAGCCTGTGGCTGCAGACAGAGGCAGAGAGCGAGGGGAGGAGGCAGAGCCACGCCAACACCATCAGCCAGTCCCTGAGAGGAGCCACGCGATGCTCAGACCAACCAACACCTCACCAGACCAAGCAGGAGGAGGTGGGGTGCCACTATGATGAATACTAATGAACAGAAAGCTGTTGGATGAATGAAAAGCTTCTTTTTATGTGAAGCTACTGTTTCCTGCAGAGCAGGTGGTAGTTTCCTCTCACAAACATTCCTGATAGATTAAATATTAAAATGATCTGCTGGGGTTGGTCGCCTCTGCATCACACCTTCTCCTGTAAGTCTGTGTTTCAGCAGGAAGAGGAGGCGTGCAAACAAACCAGAGTCTTCAGAATAAACACATCCATCCTTTTCAGGGTCAGCTTGTTTTAAACTTTATTATCCTGGTAAACCGCCTGGAACCAGTCCTCAGTTACCATTTAGCACCACCACCGGTTGGTGATCCCAAATTCAGACCCAATCCAGACTCATCAGACTAGGAAAGGTTTTCCCAGACTCCTCTGGTCCGGTTCTGGTGATCCTGTGGGAATTTCCATGCGGGAGCAGCTGGTGTATTGATACACCAGACCTTACAGACATGGAGCATGCCACCATGGTCCTGTACAGTTCTAATTAAGATCTTCAGCCTTGTGAAAGCGCCACTGACCCTGACCCACACAACTGCTGCTGTTCCTGTCTGGACCATCTCCGTTGTTTGTGGTTGAGGGTGAAGCTTTCTGAAATACTCAGACCAACCCAGCTGCCAACATCCACGTTTAAACTCGTTCTGATGGACGTCATCAGATCACTGAGACGCCCAGATGCATCGCTGTGATGTCATTAGCTGATTGGCTATTTGGTGACAACAGATGAACCTAAAAAGTGGCTTCTTTAGCTTCCTTTCACACGATTGACCATATGAAATTGTCATGGCTAAACCGGGAGTAGTAGCCTGCTACTGACCAACCTTCATAGACAGTTTAACTGGTTATTGAACACGAGACTTTGACATCATAAGTTTATGGAAATGAAAGGTAAACAAACATCTTTTTGAACCCTAATGGTTTATGATAAAGGTGAGGATGAGTAGGTCTGATCAGATGGCCGCGAGCATCACTCACCACCCCCCGCACTCATGTTCGACGGGCCCCACCCACTCCGAGGGCCGACGGTTCGTAGAAAAGCCAGGGCCGGATTTTGGTGCCAGTCCATCCCTGGGTCTGAACACTAACCCACTAAATGCTGATTTAAAGAACGCTCCGTTTGTGCCCGTGTACCGTCTGCAGCATCTCTAATGAGCCGGCTCAGCAGTGAGACCGTGCACGTGTCAGCAGTGAAACCGTGCACGTGTTTGCTTACGTTTCCCTTAGAGATCAACCTGACATGGTTCTCCCTCCTTCACAAACCTGCGTGACTTCTTTATGACCCGAGGCGTTCGAACCAAACCCATCTTCAGTAGTTATGCTGTATCAACATTTTTATTTAGTTGCCTGGTCCCTCATTCTCACGTTTAAAGTGAGCGGCTTTCCCAGCTGTCAAGTAAAAGATCCTGCGTGGTCTTCATTCAGAACACTGGCCTCATCAGCAGCAGGCCTGATTCTGCAGGACCCTGCCTGCTCAAGACCTTCAGCAGCAGCCCTGATTCTGAAGGACCCTGCCTGCTTTAAGACCTTCAGCAGCAGGTCTGATTCTGCAGGACCCTGCCTGCTTTAAGACCTTCAGCAGCAGGTCTGATTCTTTAGGACCCTGCCTGCTTTAAGACCTTCAGCAGCTGCTAGGCCTGATTCTGCAGGACCCTGCCTGCTTTAAGACCTTCAGCAGCTGCTAGGCCTGATTCTGCAGGACCCTGCCTGCTTTAAGACCTTCAGCAGCTGCTAGGCCTGATTCTGCAGGACCCTGCCTGCTTTAAGACCTTCAGCAGCAGGCCTGATTCAGCAGGACCCTGCCTGCTTTAAGACCTTCAGCAGCAGGCCTGATTCTGCAGGACCCTGCCTGCTTTAAGACCTTCAGCAGCAGGTCTGATTCTGCAGGACCCTGCCTGCTTTAAGACCTTCAGCAGCAGGTCTGATTCTTTAGGACCCTGCCTGCTTTAAGACCTTCAGCAGCTGCTAGGCCTGATTCTGCAGGACCCTGCCTGCTTTAAGACCTTCAGCAGCAGGCCTGATTCTGCAGGACCCTGCCTGCTTTAAGAACTTCAGCAGCAGGCCTGATTCTGCAGGACCCTGCCTGCTTTAAGACCTTCAGCAGCAGCCCTGATTCTGCAGGACCCTGCCTGCTTTAAGACCTTCAGCAGCAGGCCTGATTCTGCAGGACTCTGCCTGCTTTAAGACCTTCAGCAGCAGCCCTGATTCTGCAGGACCCTGCCTGCTTTAAGACCTTCAGCAGCAGGCCTGATTTAGCAGGACCCTGCCTGCTTTAAGACCTTCAGCAGCAGGCCTGATTCTGCAGGACCCTGCCTGCTTTAAGACCTTCAGCAGCAGGCCTGATTCTGCAGGATCCTGCCTGCTTTAAGACCTTCAGCAGCAGGCCTGATTCTGCAGGACCCTGCCTGCTTTAAGACCTTCAGCAGCAGCCCTGATTCTGCAGGACCCTGCCTGCTTTAAGACCTTCAGCAGCAGGCCTGATTCTGCAGGACTCTGCCTGCTTTAAGACCTTCAGCAGCAGGCCTGATTCTGCAGGACCCTGCCTGCTTTAAGACCTTCAGCAGCAGGTCTGATTCTGCAGGACCCTGCCTGCTTTAAGACCTTCAGCAGCAGGCCTGATTCTGCAGGACCCTGCCTGCTTTAAGACCTTCAGCAGCAGGTCTGATTCTTTAGGACCCTGCCTGCTTTAAGACCTTCAGCAGCAGGCCTGATTCTGCAGGACCCTGCCTGCTTTAAGACCTTCAGTAGCAGGCCTGATTCTGCAGGACCCTGCCTGCTTTAAGACCTTCAGCAGCAGGCCTGATTCTGCAGGACCCTGCCTGCTTTAAGACCTTCAGCATCAGGCCTGATTCTGCAGGACCCTGCCTGCTTTAAGACCTTCAACAGCAGCCCTGATTCTGCAGGACCCCGCCTGCTTTAAGACCTTCAGCAGCAGGCCTGATTCAGCAGGACCCTGCCTGCTTTAAGACCTTCAGCAGCTGCTAGGCCTGATTCTGCAGGACCCTGCCTGCTTTAAGACCTTCAGCAGCTGCTAGGCCTGGTTCTGCAGGACCCTGCCTGCTTTAAGACCTTCAGCAGCAGACCTGATTCTGCAGGACCCTGCCTGCTTTAAGACCTTCAGCAGCAGGCCTGATTCTGCAGGACCCTGCCTGCTTTAAGACCTTCAGCAGCAGGCCTGATTCTGCAGGACCCTGCCTGCTTTAAGACCTTCAGCAGCAGGCCTGAATCTGCAGGACCCTGCCTGCTTTAAGACCTTCAGCAGCAGGCCTGATTCAGCAGGACCCTGCCTGCTTTAAGACCTTCAGCAGCAGGCCTGATTCAGCAGGACCCTGCCTGCTTTAAGACCTTCAGCAGCAGGTCTGATTCTGCAGGACCCTGCCTGCTCAAGACCTTCAGCAGCAGCCCTGATTCTGCAGGACCCTGCCTGCTTTAAGACCTTCAGCAGCAGGTCTGATTCTGCAGGACCCTGCCTGCTTTAAGACCTTCAGCAGCTGCTAGGCCTGATTCTGCAGGACCCTGCCTGCTTTAAGACCTTCAGCAGCAGGCCTGATTCAGCAGGACCCTGCCTGCTTTAAGACCTTCAGCAGCAGGCCTGATTCTGCAGGACCCTGCCTGCTTTAAGACCTTCAGCAGCAGGCCTGATTCTGCAGGTCCCTGCCTGCTTTAAGACCTTCAGCAGCAGGCCTGATTCTGCAGGACCCTGCCTGCTTTAAGACCTTCAGCAGCAGGCCTGATTCTGCAGGACTCTGCCTGCTTTAAGACCTTCAGCAGCAGCCCTGATTCTGCAGGACCCTGCCTGCTTTAAGACCTTCAGCAGCAGGCCTGATTTAGCAGGACCCTGCCTGCTTTAAGACCTTCAGCAGCAGGCCTGATTCAGCAGGACCCTGCCTGCTTTAAGACCTTCAGCAGCAGGCCTGATTCTGCAGGACCCTGCCTGCTTTAAGACCTTCATTGGCACATTTAGACAGTTAATCAGACTAAAAGAGAAGAGTTGTGTCTTTATTATTTTTGTCCGTAACGTGGTGCACCAATGAGGAAAATTAGGCGTTAAACAACAACTAAACACACCTTTGAACTACTGCTTTTGCAGCTGTGGCTGTGTGCAGCCTCCGTAAGCATCAGACCCTTTAGGTCGACATGTTTTCTGTTAACATTTGTTTCTGACTCAATCATGTTTTCCAGTGAATACGTTTAAATAAGGTTGAAGTCTCTCTGGGTTTTAAACCTTGTTTTAACGAGTTTCTCGTAATAACAATGGTGACAGTAAAACAGTGACTTCTGCTGAGCTTGTTCCAGCTCTTGATGTTTTAAGAATTACAGAGAGACCGGCGCTCCAACAAAAGGTGCGTTACGCCCCGCCTCCCAACATCCTGCAGAGCGTTGCTGTTCGACCGTTACGGACCATCGCGCCGTAACGAGACGTTAACATCGATGTTCTTCACAGCAAACGTTCCTTTTATCTTGTTAAGAAACTCAATATAACCAGTTTCATTTTTACCATTTTAATATGTCATAAATATCATTTCCATGGTTGACATTGTTTATTTTATGAATCGGACCCTACGATTAACAACTACTTTGTTGTAAACTAATAATAAATAAACAAAGTTTCTGTTATACTGAGATAAAAACTGATTTTAACTGGTTTCTCCTTCATTCTTCCCTTGAACGGACAGCCATACACTTATACAGCAAACATTGAGACTTTATTTTTCACTTGGTGTCTTCTCATAGGAACACACCGTCTCTCTCTCGTCTGAGCTTGAGCCGAAGCGCAGAAGGTGTTCATCATATGCGAGGTGTCTCTGGAACGGGCTGCTGGTTGGGAACAATCTGACTCTGGAAGAGAGGTTGGAGAAACAAGCCCAGGGTCCCGACCACACACACAATCACAAAGATCCACAGGAACATCCGATCCACCACCATGGCCACATACTTCCAGTCCTCTATCACCTACAAAAGCACACAAATAAAAGTTCAACCAGTTTGTCTGAACAGTTTTCTTTCAAAGGCTGAGTGGCAGATGACTTATGGAGCTGGCGGTCAGAGCTGCATGGACGGCCTCATTAGTCCGACTGAATCCCTAAAGCCAGCTCCTCACAGGTCTGGGACTCTTGTTGACTTGCTGGGTTCAAGAAGACTTTCTGATTCTGACTATTTTGGGAGAAAAATTGGAAGCGGTATAAAATTATGTTGACACTGAGAGCCCTTAAACTTCCTCGTGAATGCCGTTTGCATCTCTACTAGCAGAAGCTAAGCATTAGCATTAGCAACTCCACCACACAGCAGAACTCCTCCAGGCTTGTGTTATTAGTGGAGATAAAACATCAACGTTGCAGAGCAAGCAGAGTCAGTGGTAGGGTCGTGTTGCTGTTAGCCAATCAGAGTAGAGATGTTCAGATATCAGGAAGTAAGACTCCAGATCCTGCCGTCTGAAGCTCAGCTGTGATGTAGGTAACTTGTATGCCCCCCCCCCCCCCGACAACGACGTACAAGGCCGTTGTTCCTACTAGAGACCACTGCAGATGTGATGAATAAACGCGTGAACCACTCCTAGCATCAGAATCTAAAACGATTGGTTGATATCAGCATACATACGCTCTGATCATCGTCGTCTCCCATCAAATGCTCGGCCACAAAGCGCACCCCATCCACTGCCTCCCGGACGTCGGTGGCCCAATCTGAGCTGCTTCTTTGCTGGAGGTCCTGGGTGGAGGTGAAGCCGCTGTAAAGGTAATCAGAGGACCTCGAGTCCAGCTTCCTGTTGGTGTGGCTGTGTCCCATCGGTGAAGCAACATTTTTGTGTCCTGGAGTGGAGAAGGCCGAGTCGGAGGACAGCAGGGCTGAAGAAGACAAGGTGAAACCTGATTTTGGAGCTACTTGACGACCCAGAATGGTTCTCCTTGCCTGTAGGCACCGCTGCTGACGCAGTCTTTGGCGTGCAGAGAAGTTGTGAGGGCGTCTCATGAAGAGTAAAGCAGGCAGTTTAACAAGGAATACCAGCTTGACCCAGGAGGGCATCGTATGGGTGCTGGGAGAGCGATGGTGCACATTGAGCACACACACACTGGTGATGATGGAGAAGGTCACCAGCACCATAGTGAACATCAAGTATTTGCCAATCAGAGGTACATCCAGTGAGGTGGGAGGAACAATCTTTGAGATTAAAAGCAGGAACACGGTGAGAGCGAGAAGGACGGAGATGCAAAGCGTCATCTTCTCTCCACAGTCTGACGGTAGGTAGAAGACCAGAATGGCCAAAGAGGTGATCAAAACACACGGGATGATGAGGTTTATGGTGTAGAAAAGAGGTTTCCTCTTGATAATAAAGTCATATGTGAGGTCTACATATGTAGCATCCAGAGGGTTGACAGTTCGTCGACCTGGCAGTGCCAAGATGTCCCACTCCCCACTAGGAGTGAAGTCATCCATACTGGCCACTTCAGACTTCAAGATCAGGTCGATCTCAGTGTGGTCGTACGTCCACGAGCGAAACTTAAGGGTGCAGTTCTGCTGGTCAAAGGGGAAGTGCTTGACCTCAATCTTACAGGCGCTCTTATAGATGGCTGGAGGAAGCCAGTTGACGCTGCCGTTGAAAAGGACAATGGCGTTGGTGAAGACTGTTACTTCGTACGTTCCATCAGCGCTGCAGAAAAGAAGGGAAGTTGTTAACATCTCACCATCTAGCCATGGAGGCATCTGAAGATGAGCTGTTAGTGATTATTGAATCAATCGAGCCAACATGGATGGGCTGCCTTGTGTGAGCTACAGTGAGTAATGGGTTTACATTGACCTACAGCTCCCTCTAGTGGCTACATGTGGTATTGTTTTGGTTGCCTTGAAACGGCACAGAAAATCCAAAATGGCTGAACGTAATGATGCAACATTCCCGCGTTGAGCAGTTATCCATTTCAGACTGTTGCTGCCTTGGACAAGAAGTACTAGTTACCAAAACGAGGATTTCTTCTCATTTTGTGTGTAAACTGTTAGAATTTGTACATTTTGTGGAGTTATGAACATGTTGTTTGTGTTAGCTTAATGTTAGCCAGTTTGCTATGCTAGTTAGATTATCTCTAATCGATGGTCAAAGAGAAGGCAATGCTCAGAGGCCATTCTTCAATGAATCAGCACAAAAAAGCAGTTCCAGTGTGTTTACTGGAGCATCGTTATCCAGCTGTAGCTGGTGGAAACTGGGAAACTCAGAGCGAGGACGGCACAAAAGATCCAAAAACAGTCCATTATACCAAACACAGCAGCTCAGACCCCACAAGTCATGGCTGCTGTGGAAATGCCTCTCGCTCAACGATTAGTGTCAGAGGCTTTTGTGTAAATGTTCTGTGAAGACCAGAGAATAAAACATTACAGATGCTTACTTGTTGTACAGAACAATATCTGGGAGCCAAATGTGTCTGGATGGAATACGCAGCTTGTCGATGCCTTCGTACCTCGCAGGATCCCACGATAACCTGTAATCCACCCAGTGCTATAGAGAGAGTCGGGTCGTCATTTATTGTTCTGATCCTAATGCTCCTTAGAAAAACCAATTCATTTCTCATTACATGCTACGTTATGAGGGAAGTACATCTACCACGCTGGAAGGGAAAGGAAGGGCATGGTCTAATCCGAGGTCAGGGGAAGGACTTGAGCTGCGAAACTTACCTGAGTGAGCCAAACATTCGTGGTCATTATCTGTTCTCGCTCGTTCTGAAAAGAGGCACATTAGGTAGGAATTAATTTCTTTTCCTGCTGTTAGCAAAAACAACAATCTTTACTGGAGCTGGGTAGCAGACTTTAAAGAAGGAGGGATAAAAACTTCAAGCTGTTCAAATTTCTTTCTGTTACCTTTTGATTCCTGCATTTATTCACCTGCTGGTTTAGATTTTGTTCATCAATAAGAAACTGCTCACTTGTGTCTGGGAAGAAGGTAAACAGCCTGTATTTGATATAGCACCTTCTAGAGTCCTGGAACCCCCCAAGGCGCTTTACAACACAATCAGTCATTCACCCATTCACACACACATTCACACCCTGGTGGAGATGAGCTACGATGTAGCCACAGCTGCCCTGGGGCCAGTGGCGGAGCTTGATATGTGCAACATGTGCGGCCGAACAGGGCGGCAGTCTGCAGGGGGCGGCATTTAATTTCCTTTTTTTTTTTTCTAAAAATATTTTTTTTAGCATCAACCAATACATAAACAAAACATAGAAATCGCATGTTCTTAATAATAATAGTGATGATAATAATATTTCTGTAATAAAAGCACAACAAAGTGTAACCCATATCAACTACTCCCTGTCACATGACCCACGTCAGCTGATGTGAGGTCCCTCTCCTGATTGGCTCCTTCCACGTCGCGGCAACCATGAAAGCTGCTCCTGCCGTGGCTGTAAGCTTGTTGCTTGTAGAACGGCGTTGGAAAACAAAGCGTTTTTCTCCCCTCAATTCATTTATACTCTCATTTTACCTCAGCGGTAAGTGTTCTTAACATCTACCAATAACACCCTTTTACTTGTCAGTGACCAGTCGATGGTTTTCGCTATAAAAAATGACCTTGTTCGGCGGAGTTCCCACCGCGAGCAGAACTCCGGTTCAAAAACGCTGTTTTTGAAACACTTTTATTTACTTAAGCACTTTAATGGGCTTAACTTGAAACCAAGAGCAATCGAATGATTATTGTTGTGTTGCCTTGAATTCGGCTATGCTGTCTGTCAGACAGTTGTTTTCCTTTATTGTTGTTTTTGTATTTGTTTGTAGCAAACGCTACTGGAATGCATAGATTGAGCTATGTAGCCAAGATGATTAATAATTGACCTGTTGTACATTCGTGATATGTTCACCGGTAAACTGAATCTAACTTGATGTGCTAATGAAGGTTTCTCTGGCCTACAGGTCAGGTTTTTTTCCCCTTGTTGAACTGATCTTCTTCATATTGAAGTGGCGAGCTGGTAGGACCATTCTTTCTTCTTGGAATCGGGAAATGAGCTATTATTTACCCCATGAAAAACGGAGCGGCAGCGGGCCGCTGGAGGTGCCCTGCTAGTATGATCCCGTTTAAACTGTAAACTGCCATAAAATAAAAACTATAATAGCTAGAGCGGTCTTTTTTTAGCTGAAAGTTGAGACTCTCGCCTTTCAGCACATCTGTACTGAACAAGTCGATGATGCCATCGTGTTGCGTTAAGTGTGTCTATTTCAGTAGAACTTTGACAAGTGGTGAGAAGGTGGCCAGGAGCTGGATGTTGTATTCAGTTAGCAAACGTTGTTATATATACACTCCACGCAATTTGAAACAAAGTTGTAGGTGTAATGTTTTTTCGTGTGTGTGTGTGTGTGTGTGGGGGGGGGGGGGGGGGGTGTCACAGGGGGATTTCGCACAGGGCGCCATTTAGGCCAGCTCCGCCTCTGCCTGGGGCGCACAGACAGAGCACAGACAGAGCACCTGCGGAGCACAGGTGCCACCGGTCCCTATGACCGCCACCAGCAGGCTAAGGAGGTTAAGTGCCTTGCCCAAGGGCACAACGACAGAGACCGACTGAGCTGGGCTCAAACCTGCAACCTTCTGATTACTTCTCAGATCATTTCTATACTATTACAGATGAATATTTAAAATTTGTCATGCATTTTTGGTTGTTTTTTATGGGAGAAAATGCTTCTTATAACACACAAACTGGAATATGACGTAGACGCTTATTTGGGCCTTTTCCTGATTCTGCTAAACGTTGCTTTGTTAACAAGTCCGACTGTTATTATCCAGCTCAGCCCACAACCAAGTCCCCATCGTAAACTAAAAACATCTTCCTCTGTTTGGATGTGTGGTGAAAGCAGACGCTCTCGCCACCTAGTGGCTGAGTCGGAGTCCTGAGCTGGTGTCGGTGGACTCTGTATAGGATACACAGAAATTATGAGTAGCGTAGAGGAGCCCAGAAATGCTTTAATTTCATAACCAGGCAGAAGGAACAAGGGCAAACACAAACACAAATAAATAACAAGCTTCCATGCTGTAGTTCTTTTTTAAAACACAGAGCAGTTTTGTTTACCTGTTTTCCCGCGCGCGGGAAAACAGGTAAACAAAACTGCTCTGTGTTTTAAAAAAGAACTACAGCATGGAATGAGAGATACGACACAGCAAGAACACACCTAAGATGTTCAAAAAAAAAACAAGCTTATTTGTTTTGTTTTGTTTTGAAAGTCACAATAAAATGTCACGTTTGAGCAGATCTGCACAGATCTTCCATTCGCTGCTGACCTGCGGTTCCCAGTTCGGCCTGCTGAGCTTTTGCTTCCATCTGCAGCATTCACCCCCTAACCCATCACACATCTGAGGCATTCACTCACTAAGTGACACGATTAGCCAAATTATAGAAGTTATATCCCCATTGACTTGATTAATCCCATCACAAGTTGTTTTATGTTTCGGTTTGGCTGACATGACTGTTTTCCTTTATCACAACACAACATTTACTGTAAATTATGGCTTAAATTGTAATAAATTAAATAGACAAGCTCTCTGTGAGTTGACCCTTTCATCCTAACCACATGCTTCCTATTGTGAGACACTCCCACCGTTAGTTCGTAATATAACAATAATCAAAGTGCAAAAACATATTTATTGGTTTCGTTTTAATGAAAGCTTGGCGCGATGCAGAATGGGTAACAGCCCCCAGGACTCTGTCGTAAACTTACGAGACGAGGCTGTGAAAGCGAGATGGGCCTCAAGTGTAAATCAGCTAGCCACTCTGGCTAAAGCTGTTTTATGGTCCCTTTTAATCCAGTTTCAATCTGGACATGACCAGATCTATCCTCTTCCTCGTCCGTCTGTTTAATGCGTCCCTGAAGTAGACGGCGCTTTGTTATGAACTACTTCCTCCTCTGTCTTTTCCATCATCCCCCTCCCTCATCCCGTCCTTATTTTATATCCCACTCTTGATCTCTACTGTCGTCTCTCCCTCGGACATATAGGTGGTGTTTGAGTGGAGGTGGGGGTCTCTGCTCCCCCTCCTCTGAGCGTCCTGACTTACTGTGGAAGACCTGATGCTGCCGGGGCAGACGGCCCCTCTGATGGCGTTTCCTTGCCTTACCTTACCTGGCTCATCTGGACTCAGCCGAATGTAATTTTTACTGGTGTGTGTGTGTGTGTGTGTGTGTGTGTGTGTGTGTGTGTGTGTGTGTGTGTGTGTGTGTGTGTGTGTGTGTGTGTGTTAATGTTTTTAAACTGTTATGGGAATTTGGGGTCATTTTGTAAAGCACTTTGTTTGCAAAGCGCTTTATAAATCAAATCTGATTGATTGATTGATTGATTGATTGATTGATTGATCGATCGATCGTACACAGGTACAAATACAGAGTGTGTTTCCTGTCTTACCACGCTGATGAGCTGGGCGAGAGACACTTGAATTGTGACCGTGACTCTCTCGGACCTGTTCACCGCCGGGCGAATGAGCGGGTTGTAGCGCTCCTTTCCCAACAGCCAGTTCATTAAACGCTCCTCTGAGTCAGCGCATGAGCGGCCTGGTGACACGAAGATGTTTGACCATTAGTTTGTGTTTAACAAGCATCCACTTCAATGAAAGCTTTGGAATAAGGAACATTGTCAACGCAGAGTGCAAGAGGAATGGCTGCAGGTCGTTGGCTGTATTTGCATGTAAGTCGTTTAGTCCTTTAAGGATTATTGTTTCACACAATTTGCACACAAATGTCAAAACTGAGTGCAGAAAACATTTTCTGGCTCCTTGTGATCGAGCGGCCAAGACTCAGAGGTACGAGAAGATCTACACCATGTTGTTCTACAAAAATGTTTTTCTATTCATCAGAAACTGTCGAGGTGGATTAATAAATCTTCTGATGGAACAGCTGTAGGACACACCAGTCGCTAGAATAACACAATAAAAAGACTTTGGAGCGCACCCGAGTGTCCGTGTTTGAAACAAAAACCTTCTCAGAATTAAACAGATGCAGGCAAGAAGAGGGCAAGGCCTACCACCAAGCAGATTATCCTGAAGCCACTGATGTGAAGCGTGAGTTTCTGTCTTAAATATCTCAGTTAAAGGCTCAAGTGTTATTTCCAACAACTAAAAGGGAGCGTGCCTATGGGGGGGGGGGGGGGGGGGGTCGTGCTGGTCTTCACTGGAAGGCAGTGAAGACCCGAACCCTGTTCTAAGCCCCTTTCTGAAGCTGAACTGAATAAAATAGCTTCTGGAGCGTGTGGAGAAATGGGCCAAACCCCATAGACATGAATATGTAGACGCCCCTTTGGGCGCTGGAGGGTGTAACAGTGTCGCTGCCATATTGGATGGGTCTAGCCCCACTCTGCAAAGTCAAAGCTGGCCGCCGCTTAAGGAGCAACTAGCAGGTTAGACTCCCATGAACCAATGTTTAGACAGATATAATAGTTTAAACATTTTTACACAAACATAAATTATTTAGGCTGTTAGTAATTTTTGTGGGAAAGTTTAGTTTCTAGCCAAACCAAGTGGCGTCATCTGAGGGAGTCCTGTTAGCTTCATCCAGAGAAAAATCTGGACTCTACTGCAGCTCTGGCACTGAGGAAACTTTAAATGTTTATAATTCTACTTCTGGTGGACCAGAACCCTAAAGTTATGAGTTCGCTGCTCGCCCCAGAGAGCAGAGACCAACCAGAGGGAGAAACCATCGGCCAAAGCAGAGAGACTGAGGAGAAGCAGGGGGGCGGGGCTTGTAACCCTCGTCAGAGGTTCACATTCAGAAACAAGAGAAAGGAACTTTTTACTAGAAATCTCTGCTGTTATGGATTTTGACACCAAATATCCACAATAAGCTTTTTAAATAGTATTTTTGAACAGCATTTATTATGAATTAGAAAAGAAATGTAACCTGCAGTTTGCTCTTTAAGGCAACCCTCACGCCGGGGCCAGCCCAACCTTGCAGCGCTGCTGGGAAGAAACTTTTACATCACAGTAGCTGAGCGTCAGCCGTGCTGACGGATCGCCGAGAGCTTACACTGTTGTGTGAAACCATGCTGAAAATGAGTGGCACCTCTGGTCCAGATGTGGAGCACGTTAGGCATCCCTTCCAGGAATGCGTCAGTCTTTTGTTAAAGAGCAAGTCACCCCCAAATCACTTTTTTTTTTGCTGATAAACTATATAAAGGAGTGTCTAATCATGCTACAGACATGTGTAGTCAATAATTTGGCAGTTCAGTGCATCTTGGTTAAAATTCAAATATTCTGCCTAAAACTGTCAGTGTTGCGCCGTCGTCAGGGAAAAATTCTGCACTGTATTTGAATTTAAATCTGCCACCGCTATTGGCTAAGAGGTATGCTATGATGTCATCTGGTAGATTATGATGTCATAATGCCATTGTGAGCCTGTGTGTGTGTGTATTTGTTAGCGGCTCCGCCCTCTCGGTCTGCCAAGCAACAGCATTTGTTGCATTTTTCAAACATGAAGTGGGAGTGAAGTAAGTTTCTTGTAGGTGGTGACTTGCTCTTTAAGGCTCCAGGAATTCCTCCCCGCCGTGAATCTGCTCACTTTTACTTCCTCTTGGTAGAAATCAACTCCTGCTGGGTGGTGTAGCAACAGGCTGGCCTCCCACTGGGCGGTACCTGGCCGTGCCTTTGTCAGTCCCTTGGATGGAGTCCAACCCAACGAGACCGCCATGGCGTGCCAGAGCTCCTGGAAAAACAAGCTGTTCCTTCCAGGCGGTGAAAGTGACAGAAGCAGCCAGTTGAACACACTCGCACACGTGTGCAGGCTGCAAAAGTGTGCAAAGTGAACAGCAGACCCAGGGGTGAGGCCGGCGTGTTAATACGATGCCAGAGTCAGCCATTTTTGAAACTGATAAGGTCACTGAGCTACAGCGCTCTACAAACCCACTATTCTAGAAAAGATCCCACATTTAGAGTTGATGAAGAACAGAATGAGCCTGAGCAGAACATTTGAACCTGTTATAATAAACTATGATGCAGATGAATGAGTCAGAGATGCTCCTCCTCCTCTAAACGTTTAAATTAATGTTCGCATAAAGAAAGAATAGAAGATTAAATGATGCTGCTTTCCTAATGAGCATACCTCACTTTTATCAGCTGTTTGGGGAAAATGTTAATAAATAATAAAAGATCAGGAGACTTTATCACTTTAAAGTTCGGTAAGATAGTTTAATCCTTCTAAAGGTTTATCACAACAAGTGACAGCTCCTTACGCAGGTATAATTATTCTGACTGATAATAAACTAGAGACTAAATGTTATTTCTGTCCGGCGGGTTTCTTCTTTCATTTCAACTTTTGAGCATTTATTTCTGTCCAACTGGAGCCCAAAAGGCTTTAGACTCCCGGTACCGGTACCGAGCCAGAATGAGAAGGAAAACACTTACAGTCAATCAGAGCAGAGAGGCAGAAAGCGAGGAGGAGGAGAGCCCGACTCATGGCGGCGGAACCATCCGGTCAGCGGGAGTTCTCAGTGAGGAAGCCCGGGAGCTGCTTCGGTGAGTGGGGCTCTTTCCCTCGGACATCCCGGGCTGGAGGCGGTTCGGTAACTTCACCGGTACCGTGCTGATACCTGTTGTCCAATCATAGCGGTTCCTTCAGAGGATCACGGTGTCCACCGAACCTGTTCTCTGACCCTGTAGCACCCGCGCAGCGGCAGCAGCCCGAACCGGACCGCGCTGGTCTCCTGCAGCTGGAAACCGTTCTGGGATCAGTTTACACGAGCGCAGCAGCAGGTTCACAAGGAAGCTACACTCACTCAGGCTGTTCCGGGTTCTGTTTATTAAAATAACATCTGGGTTCTGTTAAAATGAGTGTTCCGGGTTCTGTTTATGATAAAATGGCTGCAATTGTTGACTTGTGGGGCCAAAAAATAAAAAATAAAATCATATTTAATCTTGTTAAAATAATATTTAGAATATATCTGTCGGGTTCAACTCAAATGAAGATGAATATGTAAACACATAAAATAAGATACAGGCTATTCACATTTACGTTTAAATCCGGTCTTGATGCCTCGGTATTATCCAGTTATCGACCTATCTCTACGCTGCCGTTTCTTTCTAAGGTTCGTGAGAAAGTCGTTTTTAAGCCATTGTCTGACCATCTAGATGATAAACAACTTTTAGAAAATATTCAATCAGGTTTTAGAGCAAAGCATAGTTCTGAGACGGCACTAGTGAGAGTGTTCAGTGATATTTATAATTATACTGATGCGGGTGACTCAGTTTTTTTATTACTCTTAGATCTGACCGCCGCTTTTGATACTCTTGATCAGATACTTCGCGATCGTATGGAGAAGTTTGTTGGTATTTCTGGTTCCGCCCTCTCATGGATGAGTTCCTACCTGTCTGACAGGTATGTGACTGGTAAGATTGGTAGCTTTTGCTGGAGTGATGCTCCCCTGAAATATGGGGTCCCACAAGGCTCTGTATTTGGTGCTCTGCTTTTCAATTTATACCTGCTCCCACTTGGAGCCATCTTTAAGAAATATGAGCTTGAGTTTCATCTTTATGCTGATGATTGTCAGGTCTATGCTTCTATTAAAGCTAAGGAATTAGGTCTGAGTTGTTTTCATGAGGTTAATGACTGGATGGGTTGTAAGATTGACAAGTCTAAGACTGAGTTGATTATGTTTGCACCGAGTGGTGCTCCTGTAGATACTCAGTCATGTATGTGTGGCTTTTCCTATGAGGCAAAAGTTGTTGTTTCTAATTTGGCTGTTGAGATTGATTCTCAGCTTAAAGAGCAAGTCACCCCCAAATCAACTTTTTTTGCTGATAATCTATAAAAATAAGTGTTTGATCGTACTGTAGACAGATGCCATCAATAATTTGGTGCTGTAGTGCATCTTTGTTAAAATATAAATATTCTGCCTAAAACTGTCAGTGTTGCACCCCCTTCAGGTAAAAACTCTGCACTGCAGTTAAATTTTCATCTGCCATTGCTATTGGCTAAGAAGTATCAAATTACATCAGCTGGTACCATATGATGTCACAATGTCATTGTGAACCTGTATGTGTGTGTCTTTGTTAGCGGCTTCGCTCTCTCGGTCTGCTTGGCAACAGCATTTGTTGCATTTTTCAAACAGGAAGTGGGAGTGGAGTAAGATTCTGGTAGGGGTGACTTGCTCTTTAACTTTCATGTTGGAGTCAATATTTGGTTCAAGTTTGTTTTTGTTTTTTTCACCTAAGGAAGCTTTATAAGGTTAAATCATTTTTGACTAGGAATGACTTGGAGAAGCTTATCCAGCATTTATAACATCTCGTTTAGACTACTACAGTAATCTTTTCTTGGGTATTAATCATGGATGTATTGCTAGGCTGCAGCTCGTCTCCTGACTGGCACATGTAGGTTTGATCATATCACTCCAGTTCTTGCACCTCTGTGCTGGATCCCAGCTAAGTTCCTTATGCAGTTTAAGATTTTGGTTTAGCTTACAAATGTTTGAATGGACATGCTCCTAGCTATTAATCTGAACTCCTCCTGCATATGTTCCATCTTGTGGGCTGCATTCGGCTGACCAGCATTGGTCGAGTGCGCCCAGGGTAAGGCTACAGAAAATTTGAGATCTTTCTCCGTGTCAGCAGCACCGACTCTGTGGAATATGTTGCCTATCTTCATATACAGTATAGGCAGGCGTCATCTGTTGCTGTTTTTTTAAAACCTACTAAAAACGTACTTTTTCTCGACAGCTTTTACTAGTCCTAGTTGACTTGGTAGTCTTGTTTTTTTTTATAATTTCTTATGCCAGATTTTTTATGCATTGTTATGTTTTATTGTGTTTTTCCTTGACTGCTTTTATTTTTTTTATGTTTTCATACATCTATGTTCAGCACTTAGGCCAACATTGTCGTATTTAAAGAGTAACTAAACCCCAAAAAGAACTTATTTTTGCTTATAATCTGTATAATTGGGTCTTTACAAGTGCAATCTTTCTGTTTCTGTGCATTTTTTGACATGTCCGTGTAAATTTAGGTCTAAAAACATCTCAGTGCTGCCCCCTGTGGCAGAACAGCAGCTACTGCATTTTAAACTTGTGATTGATTGTGACTGGAACATCGACATTAATACATGGACAATGTGTTTCCATAGACTGAAATATCAAGTTTTTCTGCTAAAATGGGAGGTGGCCACCACCGCCATTTTGACCGTGTCACAGGTTCCGTCAAGCCCAGACAATTCCATAAAAGGGAAGAGTGGAGGAGCTGAGGGTGGGGCTGTAAGGCTGGGATCAACTGACGACACCCGGTCGAACTAGCTACAAGCTAACCTGAAGCTAACTCAAAGCTAACGCGGAGGTGGGAGCTAAGCTAACGGAGGTAGCAACCTAGCTACAACCGGAGTTAACTGCACAACACCAGAGCTCCTGAGTCAGAGATACGCCGGGCTGACCGCTGGGTAAAACCGGGTGGAACACAGAGGTTTCCCGAGAGACCGGCAAGCCGCACAGCACACAGAAGCCGCGATCAGACAGAGATGCGCCGAGCTGCGGGGAGAAGTGGCATATTTTGGCGGTTCTGGCTTGCCATAAGAACCAGCCGTCAGCCCGCGCAGCTAACAGGAGCTGCGATCAGACAGAGATGGACCGGGCTGTGGGGAGAAACAGCCGGCATTCCGGGTGGAAAACATCGGTCTCCCGAGAGCTCCACAAGCCGATAGTGGGAACCCAGCTCCACCAACATGTTATATTTGAACCCATTTTCTAAAGTGCAGCATTATGTTGAATGCACTGGGTTTTACCCTATTACATTTACATTTCATGGTTAAACAGTACATGTTAAAATCTAAGCTCAGCTCGGCAGTGACCTAAAATACATAAATATAATTTTACTTACCGAAAAAAATGAAGTGGAGACTCCTTGGACGCTCTATTAGTGCAATTAATGCCACAGCAAGTCATTTTGTCCAACAATTGCACAAAAAATATCCAAAACAGAAAACACACACACAGAGACTCAAAATCCCGGAGCAGTTTCCAGGCCAGACCGAGGCTCTACTGAGGCCTTTCCCCGGAGCTAGCTCTGTGGTCACGTGGGTCTGATGCTCATTAATTATACAGAATTTTAGGCTTTTAATACACTTAAACAGAAGAGTGAGAAAAAAATTCACCCCCCTCAGAGTTGTCATGAGTGTAAACTAGATCATTTAAACCAAAAACATGTTTTGGTACCAGGCTGTAAACATGTTTATTTCTGCTGTGAAATTGGTATTTTTATCATGGGAGTCAATGAGGATTTGCTCGCTTCTGACACCAGCCCCTAGTGGATGAGGGTGGAACTGCAATTTATTTCACTTCCGGGTTGGCTTCAATTTTAAAGCTGCATTGTGGGGGCCTGGACTGGAACAAGTTCACGTCATCGGTACAGTCTCCTCCCACGCCCTCCCAGGATGGAAATTCCCACACTTGGCCATGCCACTCTGTGCCTCCTGGCAACGCCCACCTTCATGGCATTTTTCAAATCTTGACTAGGGGTGGAGTTGCTGTTCTATGCAAATAAACGTGATTTGATTTTTATTTTAAACATTTAGGGTATCTTTCTGGAGTTTTCGCCTTTCAGAAAATACGTATGATTTTTTTCAAATCCATAAAAGTGAATATCGTATCATGTACTGTGATATAATGTAAGCGATACGTCTTTATTTTTTTTTTTTTTTTGCTAAGCACGCCCCCTGCCCCGCAGAGCTCCGTGCAACAGGAAACTGAGCGTTGACTGGAACTAACCAATAGCGTTAGACTACCGCTTACCTGCTTCAAATGTAAGGAATACCTCAACTGATGCAGAGTTAATGAACTGTTTGCAGACAAGTAAGTCTCTAAAATATTAATATGTGAGGGGAATGACATGAGAATAATACTCGTAAAACAATGTTTTAACTCTGTTTGTCGGCCACAGAAGCACATTTATAAGTAAGAAACGTGAAGTTGTCATCTTAAAAACAGAAAGAGAAATAATTTGTGTGATGTGCTTGTCAGCCAAAGACGGTGCCATGGATGGGATAAATATTCCAGAAAGAGACTTTAAAGAGCAAGTAACGCCTAAATTAACTTTTTCTTGCTGACAACCTGTACAGATGAGTGTCTAATGGTGCTGTACACGTGTGTAATCATTAGTGTGGCAGTTTAGTGCAACTTACTGTAAGTGCAACCTTTCAGCCCAAACCATAATTCTGCCTCCATCTTCAGGTTAAAACTGCTCCACATTCATGTAGAACCAGCTGTGGCTGACGGCTACGCTGAAAAACTGTCAGCAGGTTACTCCGTGGCTGCACTGGTCTCCAGGTGAGGCAGTCGCACCTCCACCTGGCTCAGCCACTCACCTGTCGATATGACACGCTGGCGCTCTGAGCCGCTCCGCTACTTGAAAACAAACGCCCTCCTCCCCTTTTCATCTAATGATCGGGGTTAACAGGAACTCCTGCAGAATGCTGCAGGTTCTGTGTCTGCTTTAATCCTGAGCGGTAAGTCTTGTGTGAGTGCGTGCATGTGTGCACGAGCTCGTTAACAGCTAGTTTTTAGATTAAGAAACTCCGACAGCGCATGCGGGGGGGTTGAGGGGGGTGCGGTCTACCACTGCCTCAGTGCTGCTCTCTCGGTCCGCCAGGCGACGCCTCTTTCAGAAGCGTTTTCCTAACAGGAAGTGTGGATGGAATGCGTCTCCGCCCAGGCCTTGACCCTCACTTTAATCAAGCTCTGACGTAGGCTACACATCGTAGCTCGCCAGTCTAAAGTTTTCATCCATTCCTTTCA